TTATTGCTTTTATGGATAGAATAATTTCTTCTGATATGTTTTCTATTCAGTAATACAAATAGAAACAGTAATCATAATACCATAGTAATAATGAAATGTGTTTCACACTAGTACATAAATCAAGCATTTATATTCTCTAAATATACATTTCCAGTTGTACAGTATTTATTTTCTCATCATTTGTCCAATGAATGTATTTTGAACAAACACAAATACTAAGTAGTTGGATCCTGTAAACAGCTCCCTGCCCTTTAATTAATAGAGAAGACCGGCACTAATCAATAATCACACAATTATAGAAAGCATCATGGTTTGTGCTATAAGGAAACCTTAACAAGGTGCCAAGAAAATTCTTCTTAGGAGATGTCATCTAACCTGGGAGGTAATGAAGGCTGAGGAGTCTAGGAGGGTTTCACGAGGATGCAACGCTCAACAGAGCCCTGAGAGATGAGAACAGGAAAGTCAGGCAGAAGAAATGCAAATGGCCCTTAACAGGATGGGGAATGCGCTTGAGGCTAGGGACAGAAAGACACTGTGTGTCGAGCAGAGAATAACAAAATGAAGCTTGAGGAAAAGGTAAGAAGTCAGGTCATGCCAGAGCCCTCAAAGAGTTTTAGTAATTTTGTCTTTATCCTACAAGATACCACTGAGGCTTTTAAAGGGTGTGTGTATGTCTGCGTCTGTGTCTGTGTTGTGTTGATTGGTGGGTGAGGGCGAGGTGATGTATTCAGGTTTATATTGCAGACTGATCACTCTGGCTCTCCTGGGAAGAATGGATCAGAGGAAGACAAGAGCAGATGCCTGAAAACCTTCTAGGAGGCTATTGAAGGAACCCAGTTGAGAAGTAACGATAATGTGGACGGGGACAGTGACAGTGGAGTGGAGTGAAGGGTATGGCAATAAGGAACATTTAGGAAGCAAAACTGAAATTACTTAGCGATGAGGATTCTGGCATGATAAGGAAGAGAGGGGTAACAGGAATGACCGCCAGGTTTCTGGCCTGTCCAAGGCGATAAATAATGAGGCTCTTGCCTGAGATAGCAAATACAGAACATAAATCAGCTTTGAGAGATAACTATCATAAATTTTAAACGCAATGAGCTACATAAACTCATCATAAGCTTCTCAGGTAGCACAGTGGTAGAATCCCTCTGTCAATGCAGGAGATGCGGGTTCAATCCCTGGGTCAGGAAGATCCCCTGGAGTAGGAAATGGCAACCCACTCCAGTATTCTTGCCTGGAAAATTCCATGGACAGAGGAGCTTGGAGGGCTACAGTCCATAGGGTCGCAGAATTGGACTGAGAGACTGAGCACTCATGCAGGCACTTGCTACAGGTACTTCTGAAATCCAAATGAAGATGGTGAGTTAAACATTTACACAGGCATTTCTTGAACTCTCAGGAAAGATTTAGGTTGTATATATACATTGGAGCTACTAGCATTAGATAGATATGATATCAGTAAGGGCCAGTGATGAGAGTATTGAGTGTAAGAGTAGAGAAAAGGGAAGATCCCTGGGGAATGCTGACACTGAAACATGGAGTAAAATGATGCACTGATTAAAGAGACTGGGAAGAAAAGCTGCTCGTGGGTAAGCCAGCCAGTCTGATTTAAAATATAAATATATATGTATTTTTATATATTATATAATTATAAATATTTATATAATTATAAATATATAATTGTAAATCTATAATATATAAATATTGTATATATATTTATATCTATAAGCCTACTGGCATGCCCCACACTCCACAGGTTTTTGCTGTCTTTGCAGAATTATTGCATTAGTTTACCACTGTTGGATCTCAACCCTCAAATCAGTTTTTAACAGATTATTCTTAGTCTCTCCTAAGACTAATAGATGGTATCACCAACCTGATGGACATGAGTCTGAGCAAGTTCTGGGAGCCTGGCATGCTGCAGTTCATGGGGTCACAGAGTCAGACACGACTGACTGAACTGAACTGAACTGAACTTAGTCTCTCCTGAAATTTTCATAATTTCAAAGAAAGGAGTTATCTTGATATGTTCTTTTTTCATGGTGGGATAGAAACTCTAAGTGAGGTGCTTCCAATCATCGATTTTGTTTCTTCCCAGATTTTTTTTGCCCTTGCTTTCTGCCGTATGACAACATTCACCTGAAAAAAGATGTTCTCTATAATTCGTTTCAGTCTCTTTTAAATTTAGAATAAGTTACATTGAGTGAGTGACTGAAAGTCACTCAGTTGTGTCTCTTTGTGACCCCATGGACACAGTCCATGGAATTCTCCAGGTCTGAATACTAGAGTGGGTAGTCTTTCCCCTCTCCAGGACATCTTCCCAACCCAGGGATCATACCCAGGTCTCCAGCATTGCAGGTAGATTCTTTACCAGCTGAGCCACTGGGAAGCCCAAGAATACTGGAGTGGGTAGCATATCCCTTCTTCACCAGATCTTCCTGAACCAGGAATTGAGCTGGAATCTCCTGCACTGCAGGTGGATTCTTTACCAACTGAGCTACCAAGGATGCCCAAGTTACATTGAACTGACTATAATTTGACAAATTTTGTATTCTATGACTTTGGGACTTTTTTGGCCTTGTTTGTGTTTTCTTTGCTATTTTTCTCCTTTTTCTTCTTTTCAGTTAATTGGGGAATTTCCATTTGTATTTGTTAATAAAATAATAACAAATTAATGTCACATCCCCCCAGAGGCAGATTATCTCACTTTTGGTGATGTAGAGTTGGAGGTGTCTGTTGGACATGAAAGAAAGCAGTACTCTTGTCTAATGGAACCTATAGATCTGGTTGAGGCAAGAAACTTGAGGGCTTCTGAAATGGTCTGGGACAGCTTTTATTTATAACATTCCTGAGCTCCAAATAAGAAGTGGTTTTCTATAGCTGGTAATTATTAGCGCTTTGACTTCACAGAACCATTACATGTTTCTGGCTTTTCTAGCTCAACTTGTACAAACTTGAATAGGTTGAACTTGGAGGAAATTTTAATACAAACAAAACTCACAAATATTTAGGTATATACATATTCAAATATTCATATTCAAGATGTGGAGCTCAAATAATAACCAATTTGGGGAGAAACAATACTGTGAAATAAATGTTGAAGATAAAATTCTGAAAACATTTAGGCTAAATTCATATGTGACACGCTAAGACAAAAATTATATTATCACAGTTTATTCAACTATGAAAAATCAGCTGCTTTTCTCTTGTTATCAATAGTAACTACCCTGAGATTTTTAAGGGCATAGATAGTGGAATTAGAGTCATGCTGCCTTTGTGAGTGATGTTGCAAACTGATTTTCATTATAAGCCAGTATCTACATGACGAAAGGCATTTGTTGTTTTATCTTTTAAACAAACAGCAAACAAAGAATACCACAGCCCCTAGCTTTTCACTACTGAAAATGAAATGGGTCTAGTAAGTTCAAAGGAATTCCACAAAACGAAAACCATTGACATGACAAAAGCGTGCATTTAATTCAATGCTTTGCAGAGATACATGACTAAAGTTGTGTGCATGGCTTGTCCTTTGGGATGGTCCCAGTTGTTTATTTTTAAAGAAAAAATAAAAAATGGAGCCAACAGAGAATTAAAGGGAAAAAAAATCCTTGAGACATAAGGGGACCTACATGTTCTAGTCTAAGAAACATGCAAGTATTACAGAACAGTATGATACAGCATGACAGGTGAATAGTGAACAGGCTCTGGAACAGTGCTCCTTCTTTCAGAAACGGGAAGTCTAACAGTTATGTTTTCACAAATGGTATCGATGAAACCATCTTTATTTTTAAAGAACTTTATAGAAGGAATTTTAGCACCATCATTAAAGGATAATAATAATAATACATTTTAGCCCTGCCTATCTCCAGTCTTGGAATAATCCCAGAAGCATAGCACCTTTTAGTACCTAAAATATAAACAAGAAGAGTAAGTCCATCCCAGCTTCTAGAGATGAGGTAGCTCATGCTAAAAAATGTTGGGTCATTTTTCCTAAGAGTTCAAAAACCAAATATTCTAATTCCAACTGCCATGATTGATTAGAGTCAGCTCCACAATTCTGAGTTTCTATAACTTTTTTCTTCATTATAGGCTTTAGGAATATGAGATTATATAAGTGGAAGACTCTCAACTAAGGGTCCTGAATATTTGTTTCTAAAGTTTTATGGGAATTATTTTGCATTCTGTGTCTTCTTAAACAAGAAAGTGCAAATATATTCAATGGTATACTCATTTAATTTCTATCTATATTGATAGATTGAGTCAATATAGGGAAAGGTAGCTTTAAATTTGAATGCAAATAAAGTCTAGATTTACCACATTTTACAAAAATTTAAGATCTTTTTTTTTTTGGTCAGAAATCCCATTGAATATATACTACTTTAACATTCCATTTAAGACAATGAGAAACTGATATTTCTTCATGGTTCTCTTTAAAGAGTCTGTATGTTAGTTATACAATATCAAGACAAGCATTCCGTTTCAATCACAAGGATAAACATTTTGATTTCATTTTTAATTGATAACCTGTAAATGAGAGGTCACAAAAGGGCATTACTTTGTATTTTTCCAATTGCAGCCACGTGAAATAAAAGTGTTGTGATTTTATATACCCCACTCTTTAAGCTATCTGCCAGGAAGAAAGGTTTTCTCATAAATACTAAGCAACTTTGTCATTACACTGAAATGAAGAAAACGGAGATTTATTTATTCAATCAGTTTACTTTTTTTAAAAGGTGGTCTTTGTCATTGGTCATCTTAAACCTAAACTGTTGTATTGAAAAATATTTTAAATCAATTAAAACTTGAGGATTTTAAGTAAAATAAATATTCTGAAGGATAAGGAGGCCAGGCACTTAAGACCATATATACAATGCTGATGCAGAATCAGCCATTACTTCAAGAGTCTCAGGATCAGCTTCAAACAGTCAAAGTCTTGTGAATGGTGGTGGTCACTGATGGTAGGGGTGGTGCTCATTGTCGATGTATCTCGGCTTGCTTTACACAAAACAAACTGGCCCAATTTCGATGCCAAATTCTTGGTCTGTACTGCCAACATCCACAGGGGCAAGATCTATGATGGGCAAGCGTGCCACATTCTGTGTTCTATATTCAAAGATGGTCTTGCCCACGTTTCCATTTCGTTTCTGGAATTAAATGGTGCAGTGGGTTAATAGCATACCCAAATTAGTACAAAAATGTTAGACAGCAACTTCCAAACCAATTTTTATAATGTAAAAGCAATGATTTTTAGAGCACTACTTAAAAGAGCACTGCCAGCATAAAATGAGATACTGTCATAGCTGGCAGGCATTTCTTTCATTCTTTAAATTGGGAAAAAGCCCTTTATTCTTTTGCAGCTTCCCAAATGGTCACTAACAACATAAATTATGAAAGCGTTTTTGGTTTTCATGATTGAAACCAAAATTCATCATTAAATATTTTCTTTATTTATATACAGATATTCAAGAGGAAAGACATATCAATCAGTGAAAAACCTAAGGTATCTCAGATGGATTATATATTTTAGATTCCAGGAGTTTTAAGCATAGAATTGAGATTAAGTAACCTAAGTAATTTGCAGGAGAACTAACGTGAGTTTGCAAAAGAGCTGCAAGGATCCAGTCCTTTACGTTTTTCCTTAAGCCTCTAGCATGTTTCATATACACATTCAGGTTTATCCTGAGGAACAACTAATTGCTGTCATGTTTATACACAGGGTAAATTTGCCCCCACCTCTAGTGCCATGACAGTATCCTTAACAAAGTAATTTTTTATTTTCTTCACCCAGATCAATATGGATCAAAAGTACTTACAGAGCAAGACTCAAAAATACTTACAGAGCAAGAATCATGAAGAACTATGTATCTGAATCTAATGTTTCCCTCTGCTTTGATTTCTAAGTCATTTGACCCTTTGAGAACCACAGCTTTCTTTAAGTTCTTAGTTTGATCATCCATGTATCCTACACTGTTTTTACAGATGTAGGTGATGTTCTGGGAGGCTTCTTTCGATAAAAGGCGCAAGAAGGTCATCTGAGTAATGGCTGCATTAGGTGACTGGTGGTCTCCATAAACAAACTAGAAAAACAAAAAGAGTCTTTGTTATACATGTCTACCCCTCCTGAGTTCTTGTGATTGGACTAATAAAATTGACACTAGACAGATTAGACGGAGAAAAAGAAACAACTTTAATTTGGGACACAGAGGTCAGAGGTCTCACAGAAATGGGACCTAAGTAGGGGCCAAAGAAACAATAAATTTAAGAGGAATTGACAGAACAAAGAAACCTAGGTTTGGGTGCGTAATTGGTAAGGAATTTAAAGTTTGGGCTTGGGTAGTAAATTAATAAGGAAGTAAGGATGTTTGTTTATACAGGCTTCTTGGTTCTAAATTACCTATCTGTGGAGATAAGGTTGTCTTTCTACCCTCAGTACAGGGAGATTTCACATGGGAGATTTATTTCCTACTTTCAGGGAGACAGAGAGCAGGATCAAAGCGTTCCTCTTGCAGCAACCATTACTTTAATGACTTTAACTGAAAAAGATCAGTGTGTGACTGAAGCAAGTTTTAGAGCAGCCTGCCCTGAGCCCCAATATACGTAATACTGATGGGTTTCATAGTGCTGTTTGTGTGAGTATGTGTGTTGATTTCAGACAAATTAATTTTGAAGCATATTGCTTCTATTCTTTCACATAACAAGATATTCTACCTATATATATATATATATATATATATATATATATATAAATACCTTAAAATTTCTATGAATATTCACAAGTAAGAAACTTCATCCTTACTATCCCAAACAAATGATGGTGAAACCAAATATAATTATAACTCACCAGAGAAAGTTTAAGTATTTTAAAATTTGCTTCTCTAGTTCTTAAAAAAAATATTGAATATTACTTTTTAGAAGTTATATACTGAAGCATAGGTTTGGATATTCAATCATGTATCGAAAATAACTGATTGCTTTTATTGTCAGTCAAGATAAAAATTTGGACTTAACTATTAGTATAAAATCTTTTTTAACCCAACTGTTACATAATTATAGGAAATATGAATTACAAGTTTTCCATTAGCTAACAAAAACAAATAATCAAAAAATAATTTCCTATAAGATATTTCCTACTTAGCTTCTACTTTGAGCTCTACTTTCAAAACTCCTGTTTGAACTTTTTACATAATATGCTAACTAAATTATATTCCAATTAGGTAGGTAAATTTAAAATTTTTTTCCTGTTCTTTAAATAATGGTAGATCCTGCATATACCCATAATGTCCTCATACCATGTTCATTATGAACATGAGTTCTGAGGAAAGGTCCAGAGCAGAGGTGAGAAGAAAACTGCAAAGTTAAGCTGCCACAAAGAGATGTGGAATAGAATACTCATCTTGCAATAGGAAGTGGCAAGGCTAGTAAAGAATCTAAATACTGGACCATGAAAGAAACAGAGGGGATTAGAGTAAAGAAAAAATATGAGGTAATATTATAATTATAAAAGTGCCTTAGGTTTAAATAACTACTAAGTTTACAAAGGGATTCAATTATCAAAAGTATCATAATAAATATCTAATATTTATCCATAACTTACCAAATACTAGATACTATATACTTTATATACACACGCTTTATGTACACACAGAAGCCATGAGATAAATATTATCACTCTTACTTTAAAATGGCAGGACTGAAAACACAAAAAGCTTAAGTGACTTTCTAGGGTCCCAGAGGTAGTAACAGATCCACGTATGAGTAACCTAGGTTTCCTGATGCTAATATAATCCCTGTCTTCCAGCTACGGCAAAATCCCTTCAACTCTACTCCATTAGCAGTGTCACAGGCATTAAAGGAGCTAATAAGAAAAACAATTACTTTTTTACATTCCATCAATTGAAAAATTATCATTCAAAACTATATTAATTTAATTCAAAGCAATGCTTATGCAATGATGTAACTAATGAGAATCTATCACTTCCAATTATTAATAAACATAGTAAAATAAGCATGGTCACAAAAATAATTACAAAAGTCCTAAATAAATACTAAAATACAATAAATAAAGACAAATGATGAATACAACTTTAAGTAAGAATATTAAATTACCTGAGATCCTCGATTCATATCAAGACCATACCAAACAGGCTTATTATCAGGAGATTTGCTGGCCCACCAGGTTTTACGTGGTACACTGGATGGATTTGCTGAAATACACGTTTCTCCTGTTTCCATGTTGCAGTAAACTTTGATTGCATCTTCAGCAGATCCCTGGTTAGGGTCAATCCAGTACTCACCTGTTTTCCAAAATAAAAATATTTGCTAAATAAAAAGAATCTCAAACATGATTATGAGTCTCTAAAATAATTAGCAGAGGACCAACTCACTGATTAAGGACTAACATTCTTTTAAAGAGAATCCCAGTTAAGGAAATATCTGCAGCTAAGAAAAAAGTAACTGTTATGCATTCAGGTCCTTTCTCCTTTCTATTCTAAGGTGCCTGGCCAAATTAAGGTTCAAAACACAAATGTGAAGGAAATATCATCACACCCATTTTGCAGATTAGAAACTATACCAAAATGATAATCCACAGTGAGTAAGTGGCTTTGCCAAAATGGATGGGTTCTCATTAAATTTACAAAGTCAATATTTTAAAACAAATAATAATTGAATATTAAAAAAATAATGTCTTTTCAAAACTATTAAGTGAGTCAAACTGCGATCAGAATGCTATGAATTATCTCACTGGCCCTGTTTATTTATTTAGGCCACATCATGTGGCATGTGGAATCTTTAAGTTCCCCCACCAGGAATTGAATACATGTACCCTGCAACAGAAGCATGGAGTCTTAACCATTGGACTGCCAGTCCCTCCATGGTCCTAAAATTGATCTCTGTTCAATGTTATGTAGCATCCTATCCTAAATGGGAAAATAATTTGAAAAATAATAAATATACGTATATGTAAAACTGAATCACTTTGCTGTCACCAGAAACTAACACAACACTCTTAATCATCTATGCTCCAATATGAAATAGTTCAAAAAATTGATCTTATCATGTAGAAGAGATCCTTGAAGTAGGCTACACCAAGTTAGTGCTTGGTGCTAGAGATATAATTTAATAAATATGCAAACAAATACATTTTTGTGCATGTATCTTTACGTACATATCTGTGTGTATATGTATATTCTGTAAATATATGTAAAATATATGTTTAAAGATTATATTACATGTATATTATATAAGCATATGTAAGTACATATAATTTATATAATAGCATATGTAATATATGCATAATAAATATAAATATATGTTTGTATGTATAAATATGGTGGTGGGATGTAAAGTATAGACTTGGTAATCAAATGGCCTGTTCTGCAAAGATAACAATTTTAGCTATCCCTGTCAGCATCATTTCAAAGTTATCTGAAACTCGTAAGCATTTCATAGCTCATTCCCATGGCCCTCTTATGGATCTTTCTTTTCCAGGTCTTATTAGATTAATCAGAATGATAGAATTTTGCAAACTTTAGGCATAGTGTTTGCAACTAGGGGAAAAGACTATTTAATTTCAAAATATTTTATAAAATAACCCTAACACAATTCCACAGCAGAGATTATTGAAGTATGATCTGTAGAACATTAAACTACATGAAAAGAATTCCATATTCTAATAAATCTGGGAAATAATGCATACTCTATTCTGCTCTCTCTGTTGTTGGAGTATAATTGCTTTACATGTTGTGTTAGTTTCTGCTGTACAACAAAGTGAATCAGCTATATGCATGAATAAATCCCCTTTCTCTTGGACCTCCCTCCCACCTCCCCTCCATGCCACCCACCTAGGTCATCACAGAGCACCAAGCTGAGCTCCCTTGATAGTAAGTCCCCACTAGCTATCTATTTCATGCACAGTAGTGTATTTGCTGTTTTTTTTAGTCACTAAATTGTGTCCGACTCTTTTGTGACCCCATGGACTGTAGCCATGGACTGCAGCTGAGCACTAAAGAATTGATGCTTTTGAACTGTGGTGTTGAAGAAGACTCTTGAGAGCCCCTTGGACTGCAAGGAGATCCAGCCAGTCCATCCTAAAGGAGATCAGTCCTGAATAGTCATTGGAAGGACTGATGCTGAAGCTGAAACTCCAATACTTTGACCACCTGATAAGAACTGACTCATTTGAAAAGACTCTGATGCTGGGAAAGATTGAGGGCGGGAGGAGAAGGGAATGACAGAGGATGAGATGGTTGGATGGCATCACCAACTCAATGGACACGAGTTTGAGTGAACTCAGGGAGTTGGTGATGGACAGGGAGGCCTGGCGTGCTGCAGTCCATGGGGTCGCAAAGAGTTGTACGCAAATGAACGACTGAACTGATCTGAACTGGACTGTTGCCTGTCAGGCTCCTCTGTCCATGGAATTTCCCAGGCAAGAATACTGGAGTATGTTGCTATTTCCTTCTCCAGGGGATCTCCCCAACCCAGGGATTGAACTTGTGTCTCCTGCATTGTAGACAAATTCTTTACCATTGAGCCAACAGGGCAGCCCAGTAGTGTATTTAGTCTCCCAATTCATCCCACCCTCCTGTTCCCCAACTGTGTCCACACATCCTTTCTGTATGTCTGCATCTCTATTCCTGCCCTGGAACTAGGTTCATCTGTACTATTTTTCTAAATTCCATAGTATGAAGTTATCTTTAAAAACTAAAAACAGAACTTTATTCTACTCTTGAGGATCCAACTAGATGTTAGCATATTAAATCACTGAGAATTATTATGGAAACTAAATATATTTAACTTTGCTCAAGCAAGTATTTTTGACATTTACAGCATCACAAAATTATCCATATTTTAAGATTTTTGGATGGAAATGGAAATACCACCATGAAATTGGATCATTAATAGGACATGTCCTCTATTACAGTACATATCTCACCCCATATTTTTTCATATCAGTAACAGTTTCCATCAGCAAACCTCAAACTCTGTGACTGGCCACTGTTTTATCTCTCATGTCTATCACTAAATAGAGAGTAAATGAAATATTTTGGAATGCATTGGAGAATTACACATCAGAAACAATGAGCTTTGCTCAAATGGCCAGCTGTCTACTCACCGCTCTGCTTTGCAGAATGGCAAAGCTTTAAGTCATCACAGGTCCGGGCAGGGTGCTTTCTGGAGCCATCAGGACTGCGCATGGTTTCAATCTGACTACTGAGTGACTTCAGGGTCGCATGTACCCCGGGGTCGGTTTTGTTTTTGTCATCAGGAGCCGCCTGATCTTCAGTAAACTCCGGAAGTGGGTCTGGCATGCTCTCATCATAGTGCCCCATGATATCCCCAAGAGCAGCTGTAAGGTGGCCAGGGGGTCCCGGAGGGCCAGGGGGACCAGGCTCACCAGGAGGACCCTAATTTTTAAAAAATTGGAAATATATTTAATACAGTTTTTAGTTCTTGCTTTTCCATTGGACACAAAGGCACTAATGGGACTTGGGGCAAAGGGGTTACAGTGCAAAACCTCAATTTGACGTTACTGAGAGATCTGTGGCTTGAGCCCTTTTTTAACTAGATGGTTCTGGTCTGCTAACTTATAACATTCCAAGGATGAGAAAGGATGCATAACTATTTCTCAGCAAGATGTCTGCAAGTTGGCATCTGAGGTTGTTATCTTTATTTAAAGATTAAAACACAAAATATGTGCTTTGATGTTTATGCATGAAGATGCAATACATTTTATGTTAGTTGTATATAGATTTGTACACTCATTTTCAAACTATTTTGGCAAGACACAACTAAAATGTTTTAAAAGGATGTATAAACAAAGGCCGAACAAGGAGATGCAGAGAAGTTTGTGGGTGCTACTTCCATAAGACTTCCCATCAGTACCAAGGGAATGCATGAAGAAACACCCACAGGAGAATTTCCCCCATATCTAAATAAGGGGAAACCACAGGAAATCTTTTTATGTGCATTAATTAGTGGGTAGATCAAAATTATCTCTCCTAAACAAAACTGGAGGAAGTTATCCTTGCCTAAAGAGCTCTTTTAATAATTATTATTATTTTGCCAAATAAGAACTACTGGAGCAAAAGGGAGATGAGCACACCAAATATCAGAGACTAGAAAAACAGATCCCCTCTATTAATTTCCTTCTGCATTTTCCTGAGGAAGAACTCAGCATCTTGAGAGAATTATCCACAACCTGAAAAGATGTGTGGGCCACTTCTTCTTGGGGAGCACAGACCGGGCAGGCAGAAGGCTGGAGGTCTGTTACTGACTCTGCCACTCGTTAAATGGGTCTGGACAAGTTGTATCAAGTTCTAGTGCAAACATTTCCTCACCATCAAGCAACCATTAAATCCATTTTTTTTCTTTAAGGTCATCTCATGATTCCATACATTCCTTTATGTTAAACTCAGGGGAAGAGATTTTTTTTTCTGCTATCAAGGACCACTAAAATGCAAGATAAAGTCAATCAAGAGCCACATAAGTAAGAGGTATTCCGATTCTGCAGCCATTTTCCATGAACAATTAGAGAAATAAACAGAAAAGATTCCTCTTGACCACAGGAAATGTAAGGCTCTTCTTTCTATGTAATAATAAATATTTGGTTGAATGGTATTATCATTAGGGCAGAGACAGAATAAGAAAAGGAAAATAAAGCAAAAGAGGAAGAAACGCCCGGGAGGGATGAATAACCTCACATTACACATGCACATACACATACACACGCACACACACGCACATGCACACACACACACACATGTGCGTGCATGGCAGACAGAGCAGGCTGTTTCCCAAAGTTTGGTTTCTGAGAAGCCTAACTAAAGTCTAACTAAAGCAATTTAAAGCTTTACAAGTCAATACCCAAGTCAATACTACTGAAATATTCTATTGAAAGTTTTAATTTGAATCTTTTCTGAATTTCATTTTCAGTAAATAACACTTTAATTTCCTAGGCTTCACTTTCCAACATTGTCATGAATGAATACATTCATCAAATCTCCCATTGAGTCTATTGCCACTTAAAGCAAAGCCACAGTTTCATAACTCTAATGATAATACAATCATAACTTACTATTTGCTCTCATTGATATCACTCCATTCCTCTCACTGAAGACAAAGCCTAGGTAGCTTAGACTCTAATTTTATGTATTCTGAATAATCTGTGTTAAAATGTTTGAATTAGCTATTATACAGACAAGCTGATGTGATTTTCAGGCTTGTTTTCCGAGTTCCTGAAGTCTTCTGTCCTTCATGCTGCACAGATCGTCCTTAGACAGAATCCAAGCTGTGGGAATCAATAGCACTACTCACATACAAATCTCTGTGATTTTACCTCAGGGCCTGCTTCTCCAACGCTGCCCCGCACACCAGGAGGCCCAATGGGCCCAAGCGGCCCAGGGCTTCCTTCTTTGCCTGAAGGACCAACTGGACCTGGGGGGCCCTGCAAGAAGCAAAGACTGTATTTTAGATCCTAGGAGGAAAACTTCTTCAAGGCCTTTCTTTGATCAAAGAACTATTTCTTTTTGGAGTTGTCACACTGATTTCTCATATTTGTTTTCCTAATGACTAATAAATGGACTTCTAGCACTTTCTAATATTTACTGCTTCACCACACATGAATTCTCCACCATCCATGCAGGGGAAAAGACCAGTGTCAGTTAAAACATTAATGGGCTAGTCATCTACTTTTAATGGACTAGTCATCTACTTTTTAGGGCATCCCCTGTGGCTCAGCTGATAAAGAATCCACCTGAAATGTGCGGGAGACCTGGGTTCGATCTCTGGGTTGGGAAGATCCCCTGGAGAAGGGAAAGACTACCCACCCCAATATTCTGGCCTGGAGAATTCCATGGACTGTATAGTCCATGGGGTCGCAAAGAGTTGGACACGACTCAGCAACCTGCACTTTCACTTTCTTTCATCTACTTTTATTGGCAGGAGCTGTTTCATCACATTTCACATATTGTAAACTTAATTAGAAATTCAATTAAGTAGGAGTAAGAAAATCACAGAAGTTGCAGTGTTTGACAAATTAAATTTGTGTCCTTGTACTCCAGAATTGTATCACATCTCAGTAATTTTGATACTGTTCTCAATTTTATATGTGACTTGTTTATACTGTATTTAGATATAGCAGAAATTCTTTCTAATGATTTTCCTAAATAATTGTCTTGTGGCATTAATGACCTATTAGACAGCATTAATGCTAAATGTAGAATTTCTATAACCTTCAAATATTTGTTTCATTTTATGATTTTCTTCCTTATTAGCTTTATGCTGACTTCTTCTGAGGAACTATAGCAATTGCTTAAATGAAAACAGCATATCCAGCTTCAAAATCTGTCTCCACTTCATGGTAAATCCTATAGTATCATCTCAAAGAGTACAATTAAATGGAAATTTCAATAAACACAGAGCAAGAAAATGAACAAGCAGATGAGTATACCTACCCTAGGGAAGAGATTTTGAAGGGGCCTATGAAGTAATATATTTCAGGCTGTGTCTACTTAAATGTAAATGCTGAATGGTTTATCTCTTATGTTTGCTGCCAACTTCAGAGAACCTAAGACAACTCCAGCTTCAATACCATGAAAATGATACTCAAGCACTAACATGTGCTCAGGTGCATTAATATTTACACCTGCAACTTATTGCTAAATTTTGTTACTTACTCTTGGGCCAAATGGTCCAGGGATTCCAGCACTGCCTTGTTCACCATTTGGACCCTAAGCAGAAAAAAAAAAAAAAGCCAAAATATTTATATCCTATATTTAACCACTCTAGTTAAAAAATGTCTTGTCATTGACTTTAGCAGCATATACTTCATTCATCAATCTCTATATCTACATGAGTTGACCAATACTAAAGACAACTGTAGGAGTAATACTGCATATAACCTTTTGGTTTATTTCTTTCTCACAAAATTACAGAAAACATATGAAAAATTATATTGGGTACTTAGGTAATGACTTAATCATCAAGATATTCTTTAAAGTGAAAATAAGATGCAAAAAGTCCATCCATTTTATAGACAAATAAATGTTCATGTCAAGATACCTTTGCATTTTCACATGGAGAGCAAGTAATACTTAAAAGAATAACTTACAGGAGGTCCAGGAAGACCCTGAAGACCAGTAAAGCCTCTGTGACCCTTCTGACCTCGATCCCCTCTGTCTCCATGATCACCTTTGTCACCACGAGGTCCTTGGGGTCCCTAGAAATAAGGCCAGAGCATGAGCATTCCCTGTTGAAACTACAATTTACAATTTTACTTTGTACAATTGCATTTGCTACAATTTTGAGCATTGTATTTTATATGAACTAATATATTTACTTATCTAAATGGTTTTACTAGGAATTTTTTATCTATTTTTATCTAGAATTTTATCTTTTTTTCTCAAGGAATGAAAGTGATCACTAAAAGCATAGGATATATAATAATGTTTCCTAAAGATTCAATTTTTAAAATGTTTAACCTACATTTGGACTAAAATGAGCTATTTTAAGTTTAATCTTGCCTGAGATATTTTCCAAAGTTTGGAAAGTTTGAATTCTCCTTCACATATTTAGATTATATCATTATGTAACAATCTAGCTAAAAATAAAATATACTTGAATAGTACTTTTCAAGTTTACAAAGAGCTTTCAAACCCATTTGCCTACATAATTTTTAGAAAATCTTAGAGAATGGCACTGTTACCCTTGCTATTGTGGGAGAAAATTGTGACTAAAAGTTTTAATTGATTATTGAAATAATTCATAGTAAAATTCAGAAGAGTTATACCAACACTATAAAAACAAATATAAACTCCTGGGTGCTATTTTAAATTAATGTTTTATCTAAGGCTTGAAGAATTTGGTAATTTTCATTTGTGAATCTTAAAAATTATGCTTTTTCTTTGGGAGTATATTTTATGTAAGAAGTCATATATTTAAAAAAATAAATGAATAAAGCCAAGAACTTACAAGTAAGCCACGTTTCCCAGCTCGACCGGGTGGTCCTATAGGACCTCGAGAACCCTAGAAGAAATTTTCATAAAATTAATACAAGAAAAAATATGGATATATTATAGAGATTTAGGATTCAAGAATATGTCTGTAGTTGAATACTTCTATATGTGTAGGTGTATCTAAGAGTATACTCTTATGGCTAATTAAATAAAACCAGGCTAATTTCCCCAGGTATAAGAATGTGCTCACTATAACCCCAATCACATCTCTATAGTCAATTTTATTAATGGACTTCTCTGAATGAAGATCACCTTAGTTAATTACATAAGACATTACTTGCTTAAATTTAACATGATCCATACTTACTACATTTCCTATAAATCACAACATTTTTAGATAATGAAAGCCAAAGCATCAAGATTTTTGAAGACCTTTAAGAAATCAAATTTTTAAGACTAGAAAAAATAATTCCAAGCACACATGTCATTGCATGCATGCATATATACATACTCACAATACAGTATGTTGATGTTTAACACTGTCAGTGTGAAACTGATTCTCCTTACCGGATCTCCTCTTTGTCCTGCATCTCCTGGAGCACCAACAGGACCGGGAGTTCCAGGGGCACCCTGAGAGCCTGGCAGACCTGCAGGCCCAGGGTCTCCACGATCACCCTGACAAGGAAACCATAATATTACCTTTTTAATATTTATTATAAAACAGCAAAATTCTATATGCTTATGTTATTCATGAAAGGAAAAAAACACACCTTTTAAAACATTGTATTTATTAATTTATTTATATACTACTTAAATGTTCTACTTATAGTTACATATTAATAAATCAAACTGAAAAGGGTAAGATATTTTCCTCCAATATCATCTGTCCCCTCACTCTCATCCTATTATTCCCATAGTCAAGATTGCTGGGTATGAAGTTGTCACTTCCAGAATTCAGCATGTGACTTAGACCCACTGGGGTATCTGTACTGTTAATATAGCATAAACAAAAATTTTCCAGCATGTGAAAACAGGGAAAATTCTAAGGAAACCACTTTCCAGGTTTATAATTTCATATGAGTTCTTTCAGAAAACTGATTTGAAGCATCTTTTCCTACTTCCTCTTTATTAATCACCCTTCTCCCATTTTATGCAATAAAAGCATATATCATACCACCTGCAACCTTAATATGGCACAATGCTCCAAGGAATAAAACTCCCTGGGCATCAAACTCAAGGACTTTTCCAGAATGCACAGTTCACTTGAGAATAAAACAAAGATGTATTTGGAAAGAAAAGCTGCTCTTTATTTTGCCCAGTCTTACTTGGCTCCAAATCTTACTCGTCTCTTTAAGAAGTCAGAGGTGAGATTATAGTTATGTGGATGTGTATTAATATAATTATTTGACTTGAAGAATGGAGCCAGATCTTTTTTTCTAACAGAAGTTAAGTCTTATTTGACTGAATAGTTTGGCAACCAGGATAAACTTTGGCAAGTAGGTTAGAGAATGGACATGTAATAAAATACACTGAATATGTTGAATTGGCAACTCCAAGACTTTAAAAAATATATATATAATGAAAGCTTATATACATTTAGAATTTACCAGAACGACTTCCTTTGTAACTGTTAGACAGTTAGAACAGGAAAAAGGAGTCCAAGATAGCAATTAGAGACAGTGGCGACTAGCAGAAACATCCAGAGGGCAAAAAAAGGAAAGACAAAGCCCATGAAAAAGGGAAACCACTTCAGGCTGGAGTGAAGACCTCCAGCAAGAAACATGCCAAGCATGCCCCCTTCCCTGATTGGCTTTGAACATATACTATATTTGCATTTCCTTCCCTGATTGGTCTTAGGTACAAGCCTTATTTTGCATGGGACGGAACCAGTCAGGCTCCAGGGACTCCTTAGAACAGGGAACAAAGGACAAAAAAGGGAACCCTAAAATGCAGCAGGCTCCAGGATTGCTCTGCTCTGAGAGTGTACTATATGCCTGCTTGAGCTGTCTTAGTCTGTTGTTTCAATTCTTTGCTACAAGGAGACAAAAAGTGAGGGAAAAGAACTGACCCAACATAACTATCAAAACATGATTAAAATAAATGATGGTAACTTAAAATATGCACAGGGGTTCAGAGATTTTCAAAATTATATTGGGGGTACATCAGCAAAACCTCTGAAGACTACTACACTGGACAATATATACCAACCCTGGGAAAAACTTAGATCCCAAGAGAATTTTCATTCCCTTGGCTTTACAGCCAAGGGACTTTGCCCCAGGATTCCTCAAAACTCTCTTTCCCTTTCTTTGAGTGCCTATGAGATACTTTGAACATGATATTTAAAACATAAGTTCTCACTGGTATAAATATTCATCACATTTAAAGTATTTAAAAATGAAGGTTCAGAAAATTTGTTCAAGAGTACATAGCTAATTACTTAAAGAATAAAGATGAGAAGAAAGAACAGTTTTTTACTCTTTAGTATTACAGAGATTTCAAATGCACATTATTTCAGATTTTTTGATCAGTGAAATTGCCCTTACACGTTCTCCAACAGCACCATCCCGTCCTGGAGTACCATCATTACCAGCTGGACCCTATAAAGAATCATATTTGAAAAATGAATTAACTGAATAATAAAAAAAATCACATTTCAATTGCCAGAAAAATTACAGCATATATTCCACCTCTATTCCACATTACAAATTAGCATTTATGGAAACTTCAGTAGAAGAAAGTTTCTGCCATCTTTCTATTATTCTGATTTGCTTGTAAAATTATTAACACATTCTTATACTTTTGGTGCCAATTTTAAATAGTTTTACTTAAGACACTATTTTCCACTTACAGTACAGTGCTTATAAAGTGCAATGTTATTTCATTTCCCTGTGTACATATTCCTTAGTCAAGAATTAAGGATGCCCAGTTATTTACTGTAGCAGTTCGACTTTAAAGCTGCCCTGGAATTGCTACAAATTTGGGCTCACCAATGTTTGTTGTGAAACATACTAAATCTATACTCGGCTTAATCAACCTCTTCAACAGTGAACCCACAGGAACTACAACCAGACAGAGGCACTCCAACACCAGAGAAGCCCCAAGACATTTCTTTTACTGTGCCTCCTACACTTAGTCTAAATTCATCTTTTTTAAATTTTTATTTAAAAAAATCCAATTATTCAAAATAAATAGACAACACTTAGATTCCTTGTATTTTGTTTTCTTTATATTACCAGTGAATAGTTTCCCTCCCTTTTACTTACCCAAATAATATCCTTAAGGTTTTAAAATAAAATATCTGTGTTTAGACATTAAATTACATTTTAAAATATATAGTCTTCCTTTCCTGTTTTATTTTGATTTCTTTTTTCCACAGAACTATATTTTTACCATTTGAACAAAAATTGTTCTGAAAGGCATTAATTGTTTCTCTCAAGAAAACGTGACAGTAAACGTTTGGCAATTTACTCATTAAAGCACTGAACAGAGGAAATTTCAACCTGTAACTTTTCAAATCACCTTCGAAAAGCTGATTTCCTCTCAAAAGAGCCTAAGGGAACTTGATATCCACAATGTTATGTATAGGGATATTTAAGTAAAATGATCTCTACTTACTTGGCCCTCTTCACAAGCTTTAACAATTATATTAATCCTATCACCATAAAACTTGGCAATTTTGACAAATATGCCATTCCAGAATGAAATAATAACAAGAGAAAAGATAAACAGTTGTAACCTTTCACCTTCAAAACAATTTGGCAACACTGACCAACTAAAATACTTGGCTCCTGACGAGATGAAGGCCAGTGCAAGACACCAATCTTATTACCTTTTTCTCATGTCATCATTTAGTCAACTTTCTAGGGAAGGAAAAACACATCAAAAAACAGCACTAGAAAACTTCCTTCAGGTCGAATGTACAATTTCTAGTTTCTAGATCAATTTCTAAATTTCAGAAATGTCCCCATAACACCAGACAAGGAGGGGAGGATGATCTTCACTGCAGTACTCACTTCCGGTCCTGGCTCCCCCACAGGGCCATTGGAACCTGGGGGCCCAACAGGTCCAGGTGGACCTTTATCTCCTGGGGCTCCAGTTGGTCCTACTTTTCCTGGTGTGCCCTGAAATAAAGCATAAATATGTCAACCACTTCTGAAGAAGCTTGAGGAGACAGTTCACGTAACAGCTATGTTTAAATGGCACCCAGTGTCTCCCTCTAGAGTAATAACTATCAGTTATCACGCAACACCAATTATCACTGCAGTACCTTCCCAGAGGTGCACCCGCTTCTTACCACACCCATCCTGATATATTGATGGGACTATCCTTTGCACCAATTCAGGCGCATTTTGGGTTTTACTCTAAAGTACTATTTTCAGATCTGGATGCCCGTCTTGAATCTGTGTCACTAAGACATGCTCATCCTTACTCTTCCACTTAGTCTCCTCACTTTATTTCTGTATCCTGAGAGTTTGAGCTCACTATTGGGAGACCAAATATTCCAGGTTCCTTGGCTCACTCCTGATAACAATAAAGCTGCTCTAGACTCCTAGTCTGCTGGTTTCATATCTCAACTCACATGTCCCTAGTTCCAAGACCCCAGCAGTAAATCTATCTCCACATTCCATATAAAAACATCATTTTTTTTTCTCAAGTGTGTAAACTTTCAGCAGTAAATTTTAATCTCTTCAAAGCTAACAGTGAGTTAAACTTTTATCCATACTCCAGGGAATATGAAATTCTTAGCAACCTCCAGGGAATAGGAGATTGCTTTCAGAATCTGTCGTTATAGTTCACCCCACTTTCACCTCCAGTATTACTTTAGCTCAACTATTTCTTCCCTTTGATGGTTTATGAAAACTTAGTCTCTGAACTGTGAAATATGGATTTTTCCATTAGGCATGTTTATTTAAAAAGAGGCTACCTACTCACCAGGAGATTATCCCTCTTCTCTAGCTCCATGGGTATTTTTAATCTTTGAAGAAAGATTTAGAGTCACCAAAAATCCACATCCTTATTTGTCTAAGTCTCTAGTCCCAGGGTTAAATAAATATATTTTTCAAAGGTACTTAAGAATTTGACATTTAAAGTCAAAAGGTTTTTCAGATACTCTGTGCCTTTAAAAGATTTAAAATTATTAGGGAAAAAAAAGGTAAATTCTCCCTTCACAAATGATATTGCACATAATCAGATGAAGTATTGACCAGTGCAGCTACTTACTGCTGGGCCTGGAAGGCCAGGCATCCCTCTCTCTCCACGCTGCCCCGGCATGCCGACAATTCCTCTTTGCCCAGTTGTTCCAGCTGGACCAGGGGGACCATCTGGACCCTAATTTTGAATACAAACTATAATAAGAAATTCTCCAGGGAAAACTATATGCAAGCACTTTATAACAGATGAAAACTTTATAGGTTATTAACTATGAGTATAATTATTACCCATAGTAATATATTAAGTATGTAATATTAAGTAAGTATTAAGATTCTGTTCTACTAAATTATACCATATATGAGCAGTCAAAATGAGTAATCCACACTGAGCCTCTAACATTATTTAAAAGTGAGAACAGGTTGGAATTAAACCAATTAAACCATTATTAAAGCTGAGAATTAGTTTAAAAGAACTTGAAGATAATGTAAATATTGACAGAATAAAAGAGGTAAATATTCAGACAGTTTTCCTCCTTTTAAACTGACAAAAATTTTAAAACAAAGAAAAGAAGTTGGGCTCTATCTAAACATATTAATGTTGAGGCATTTATATATTCAGTAAATTGCTTTAAAATTTTTTCTTAATTCAGTACAGATATTTAACGAAAAATTGTTTTCTTGTTTAGTTTTTGAATACCATATCCATTAATGTTATATAATGGATATGTTATATGTTATGGATATGTTATGGATATAATGGATATGTTATAATGTTATATAATGGACATATAATTTTTCCTAGAATAGAGAATTGTAAGTTAAAAACCTATAGAGCCCAATGTACTCAAAGGATTATAAAAGTGCTCCGGATAATGTATAAACAGTTTCTTTGTGGCAGTAGTTATTATGAGTTTCTAGTTAGAGGTAGTCTAGAACCAAGATGCCGAACTTACAGGTTGTCCATCTTCTCCTGGGTCCCCTTTATCTCCTGGGCCACCAGGAGGGCCAGCTGGTCCTCTATCTCCTACTCGTCCATGAGACCCGGGGTCCCCACGAAGACCTGGAGGTCCTTCCTTCCCAGTCTCCCCTAAGGGCCCCGCAGGTCCTGGAGCTCCCTAGTATAACATGGGAAGAGGCCCAGAGGGCAAAGTGGAAGCCATGTTAGAATACCTAATACGGGGATCTCTGCTGCAGAAGCAGAAGCCCACGTTTCACAGGTCCATTTTTCCTGTTAATCACTCAGTGGATTTAAACAAAAAGTAAAATACACAGCTATAGGTTCATTTCATTATCTGCAATTACCTCTGACTCATTATGAAAAGTGAACTGACAATATTATAAATCAACTAAACTTCAACTAAAAACTAAATGTGGTTTGAAATCGTAAAAAAATAAAAAATGCGTTTGAAATTAACTTGAATTTTCAAACTCCATAAGGCTTTTCACCAACAATGAACACGTAGTTTCTTTTATCTGACTTGGTCTTGTAATGAAAAAATAACTTCTATTATAGATAATCTCAGAGATTCTTCCTAACTGAAAGGAATGGTTATTACCACACAATACTGTGAGTATTCAGTACCCAAATGAAGTAATAGTCAAATACTGGAGTTTAAAAGGATTTGCAGATAAGCTCCTCCAAGAAACATTCAATGATTAAAGATGATTTGCTTGACAACATACCTGTATGAATTATTGGGACAAGAACTGTTAACACAGGATAGCAAATCATTAAGTGCTTAAATAAAAGAACAAATAATAACTCAAATATATGTGTGTGTATCATTATATGTACATGTGCGTGTTTGTGTGTGTTTTTATGTGTTGTGTGTAATTATTCCACTATCAGTGATTTCAATTATTGAATTGACTTACAGCAGGACCTGGAGGTCCAACTCTGCCGGCAGAACCAGGAAATCCTGTAGCACCCTAGAAATACAATATCATATAAGCAACTTTAAAATTAAAATTAGTTATATATACTTTCTAGGCTCTACTTATTTTACAGGGATACCTAGGACTTTATACCCCTCTCCTTGTTGTGAGCAATAAATTTTTTTCTTGTATCCCGCTTTTGTGAGTGGATCGGGATTAACTGGTAGGAAGGATGCGATTTTTCTCTTTCCACTTTCCATTTATCTTGAACATATACAAGTATATTGAAGACGAGCACTAGGATCACATTAGAATTTCTTATAACAGAATTACATAAAGTGGGTTCATATTATTCATTCCCTCTTCCATAGGTAATCTATTATTTAGATTATATATGAGGAAACTGGGTCTCCAAAGTCATAAAACTAATTTTAATGCAGATTGTCATCCAAGTTAAGCACTTTTTTGACTGCAATATATACAACTAAAAATTGGTTGTTACAGCTTCAAAGGAACTTTAAGATGGCTATAAAGTACTAGATATCTGTGACTAGCTATGCATAATTCCCAGAGCTTCAAACCAACTTACAGGTGGACCCTGAGTTCCTCGACCACCTTTCAGTCCAGGAACACCATTAGGACCCTAAACAGAAAGAAACAAACAAAAGGGTGCTGCAGTAAAGAAAGATGGTCTAAACACAAGGTCTAAACAGTGGGAACTGGACTCAAGCTGTATCTTGTTTTACTTTAAACTTACATGAGGCCCTGGGGATCCTGCTAGCCCTTGTGGTCCAGGAGAGCCAGCATCTCCCTTCTGCCCAGGCTCTCCAGGTTCACCCTTCACTCCAGGCTGCCCATCAGGACCCTACATCAAAGAATAAATAAGGAAACGGCTGCAACACTTACAGACAAGTTTTTCATAATAATTATCATTTATTCATATATTATAAAATGGTGATTTGTAATCAGTATAAAAGCTTAGAAGAAAAAAAACACCCAATGAGATCTTTGAAGACAGTCTGAAAAAGTAAGTTATGTCACCACACTGTTTATTATAACAAGTATATAATTCAAAATAATGCAGATGCATCCATTTTGTGCCAGTCCATGAAAAAAAAAAGTATTGACAATGAGACTATTGCCTAGAAAACTATGTTTTCCAAAATCTTGAATATATCTTCAAAACAAATGACAGTGATAATTAATTAAATTCATTGCAGTAGCAAGAAAAATGATCATTTGTAAATTCAGGACATTTAAAAATCATACCTGGGGTCCAGCAAAACCAACAGCTCCAGTCGGGCCATTTTCACCACGTGAACCCTAGAAGACAAAACATTACTGTAGGTTTCACACATTTTTCTAAACAAGAACAGTATTTTTAAATACAGTTTTATAAATCTGTAGTATCTTGAAATGTACATATAGAGAAATTAGACATGTTGCTTGAGGAAGACTCCTAAGGGTGATATGGATGAGGGTCATAAAAAAAAAATTCCAAGTCTCAAAGAAGCTTCTGATTATTTAGTAAATGAGCTGCTTATGTAGACTTAATAGACTGTATAGAAATAATACACTGATTTTTTTTTAAAGTGTAATAAGAAAAGTAAAAGGTGAAAACCAGGAAGTTAAAAGTAACCTAACCCAACAGGCATGGTTTCATATAAATATCAAGACAAAATGATGGCTTCTTTTACTGCTCAATCTCATACCACAGAACATCAAAATACTGTCACTTACGGGATTGCCACGGGAGCCAGGTGGACCAACTAAACCTCGAGGGCCGGGTTCTCCCTGAAAAGCAGATTTTGGCTGGTTATTGTCCAAAGCAATGGCAAAACACAATACAACTGTAGGACATGGTGTTCAATGTGTTGGGTGGATGGGAGGAGAACTCTGAGATGATCTAGCCCAGCTACCACATTTTATGAAAGAGAAAACATTATGAAAAAGAGCCAGCACTCAGATCTCAGAATTTTGAGTCCACAAGATAACAACTTTTGACATTACCTTTTCTCCAGTAGGGCCTGAAGGACCTGGAGGGCCCAAGGGACCCGGAAGACCCTGTCAATGAACATAGCATAGGCATATTGAGGAAAAGAATGTGCAGAAATCTCCACATTTAAACAAAGAAGGTACTATTTTGTTACAGATGACTGCTTTTGTAAAACATTACCTGTAATAAATGATACAATCTGTATATTCTCAATATTTTTACATCTAGGCTAAAACAATCCCCAGGGGATTCCCTCCACAAAATGTTTCAATCTGTTTCATCCAACTCAGCTCATCTATATACATAACACTGTCTTCAAACATTAGTCTGAAACCAGTGCTATCCTTCAACAATGTTTCTGTGTTGCTTAGCTTGTTTAATTTTGCTAATATCTATTTGAAATTTGACAATAGATTGAAAAGGCTTTTCTTATTTTCTATAGAATACTTTATTCTTAAACTATACAAGTGAAATATCATTCCTTTATTTTTTAGAAAAGTGAAATTGTGCTAAAGCCCTCAGTTTTCCACATTCCTCTGTGATGAAAGTGAATGGAACCACCCCACTGCACTGAAGGTGATGGTGTTCTTTGGCTCAGAGTATAGCAGAGAGACAGGTGGGGTTTTCCTCACACAGACACAGTTTTTAAACTGCTGCACTGCATTGGAGCCCTTCCTAAAACAGGTTTTCTCTCTGATATTTGTGTATTGCTTTTTCACACAGAAACTCAGATATTCCTTTGCCATTTAATTTGTGTATGCATCACAGAAGAAACTTAGGGAATAAAATGACTTTTTAATTTTATATTGTATTTTAAGACAAGAACATGAGAAAACTGCGATCTTAAATTCTCTAGATCTATAATGAAACAATATTCTGTCATTCACCTAATACACTTCCTTAAAAGATTTGATTGAATATAAAGGTGACTACACTAAAATTTTTTCCCCTTTATATGAGATAAATTCTCTGCTTCTTGCCTGAAACAAGGCATTTCCCTCACTAAAAATTAAGCAGTCATTGCTTAAGTCTTGATCCTATTGCATTGCAGTTTCAAAGTATTCAGTAGTTCAATGGAGCAATAGATGGATATTTCTCCTTAAAATAAACTGACAGCACATCATTCCTTCAAACAGCTCTTCATTATTTACTGTGCACTCCAGACCAACTGTGATGTGAAGCACAAACAATAAACCAGATTCACTTAGACCACTTTTGAAATATTGAATCGAATGTTAGATTTAATTAAAAGGCAAAGATACTTTGATTTCATAGTTTGCTAAATTGTTTCACCTTTAACTAGCTTTCCAGAAAAAGAAAAAAGGAATTATTATAATAAGGCTAAAACTTTCCTATAATATATATTTTTTATTCAAAAGTTAATATAATCAGTGTATTAATAGTGACTCAATAGGTAGAATCAAAATATTAACAGCAGCTCAGTGTCATTTCCTTTTTTAATAGCACAACTGCTGTTGTCAGGGTACAGTATGACAACTAACAGCAAACTAAGTCATACTGAATCAGAAACTATTTAGCAAATATCAGGCACTATTTCCAGAAAACGTTGACTATCTGAGTGACTAACTATCTGCTCTTACCTGAAAGAATCATTCATGTCTGAAAATATATTTTCATTCTGATTGTTTGATTATCCTTAGAATTGCAAATACATTCTAGTTTTGAGGACATAAAGCTTGTTAAGCCTCAATTTCTGGAAGGGCATTAAACAATCCTTCTTTACATTTCGCTTGTTCAGTCTCATTAATGATGATTCATCGTGCAGTAATTTTCTCACACCTGACATCTAGCATTTTGAGAAACATTCACCACACCTTTGGTTACTCGGTAAAACTCTACTTGGCTACACTGGAAGGAAGTCTAAGATGACTCATTAGATTAGCATTTTAATAAACAGAAACATTGAATATGGAATAAATATGATAGAGAAGGAAAAAGAGGGCCTCACTGCTTAAAGCATCAATTTTATATGCACAGTAAAAATGTATCTTATTTCATTCTCTCAATAATGACTTTATTTTTTTGGCTTGTTCTATTTCAAGGTAAGCAAATGAATATCCACAGGCAATCAATGTCAAATCTCAGATTTCATCATTCTCCCAAATCCTGACCACCATGGAAACATGAGACTTATTCTAGAAAGTTCTGGCAAACTCATACAGTAATGATGATGTTGATTCCCAGCCCTGCCACTGAAAAGAATGGTTTCACTTACTCTTGCTCCATCATTTCCAGCTGTACCTTCAGCACCTTTTTCTCCTATGCCACCCTGCGAAAACACACAAAATGCCATTTATTCACTTAGGTGTCTTTTTCCTACACTGGCATGGAAGCTTCATGAGAGCAAGAGCTCATCTCTAATGTTCACAGCTATATCCCCTTGGGCCTAGAACAACAGGGGAGCAATGCAGTTGGGACTGCATTTTCTAAGTACACGTATACTGAAAGAATGAACGACTTGCAACTTAGGATGGCAGACGTAAAAGTCTGCCCAGAAAATCATTATCAGCAGAAAATCTAAATGGATGAATAAAATAAATAAGTAAATAAAGAAACTTACTCTGTCACCCTTGGGGCCAGGAGTACCTGCAATTCCCCTTTCTCCTGGCATACCTTGAAGACCTGGTGGGCCTGTATCTCCAGGGGTTCCAGGTGGTCCTGGACTGCCCTAAAATGAACCAACAATAAGTAAGCTCATCTATATCTTAAGGTTTAGCCACATGGAATCCCTGTTTTGGTAGACCAAAAATAGTAGAATCTTGACAATTACGTATGGCTCAACCTAATGCTTATATTTTTCATTTGGGAAAACTGTCTCTAAGGTCATTATTTTTTCTTTAAATAATACCTTTCTGTTTTGACTGTTGCTTTGTTTTCAGATTTCCTCTCTGGGAAAATTGGGTACTGATTCAAACAAAAATGATAGAGTTGCCTTTTTATTTTCTTTTATTGGCAACATCATAAGGATTCTAATAAGAAAAAGAAGACATTACATTTAGAGAGTACATCCATTCTCTCTCTAAAGAACCCATGAAATGAAGCTGGTTTTCAGGCTTATTCAGTAATGAAACTGAAGTAGATCTTACATGATCTCTGGCCCTTAAAGGTGATAAGGTATCTAACATCTGATCACAAGAATTTCTGCTCTAGTAGTTTGCACTGAAAATGGCCACATTATCTTCTATCAACTTTAGAATGGGACCCAAAAGGAAATGGTGCTGATTTTTGTGTTATAATGCATTGTACTTTCAGATTTCAAAAATGACATACTTTTATACATTTGGTGAACAGAACTACAGAAACTGTGACAAGGGAAATGGAGCATATGATTAGGAACATCTCCTAATAAATTATGCAATTTTCCATTTCTTGCCTCTGCTTATAAATAAAAGTCCTTAGGAAAATATATAAATAAATTTTAGAAATTGTTTTGCATATAAGGAAATATCACTACCTTGTGTACTGGATCATAAATCCCATCAAGGAAGAGACTCCTTTATACCCGACTCTTTAACGTCAAAGAAAATCAAGTAGGTGCTCTTTAAATATTTGTTAAAGAAATTACTTTGGAAAAACAAGAGAAATAAATTCTAGTACCATCATGTGTTTATTGACCAGTAAATTAGAAACCAGCACAATATTGTAAAGCAACTATTTTGCAATAAAATATTTTAACAATTAAAAAAAAATTAATAAAAATTACTGAGCTCACTACCACACTTACTTTTGGACCATCAGGACCATGTCCTCCAGCCATTCCTTTCTCACCAGGAAGTCCAGTTATTCCTGGTTCTCCTCTTTCCCCTGGATTTCCTCGTTCTCCCTACACAACACAGAAGTGGCAAACAGTCTCAGTGCTTGATCCGAAAATGGATTTAAATACGTTTCCAGAAATCTGAAAAGTGACTTCTGGGAAAAGATTTAGAGATGAGCAACCATTAAGACTCAATTTTTTAATTTAGTGAGAAGAAATGAACTTGAAGCATATGCTGGCTTCACAGCACAGACTATTTCTCATCAGACTGATTTTCATCAAGTAAAAGAACTGCAATGAATAAAATACAGCCAAGTTTAAGATGAAAGATGGTTTTATAAATGGAAGCCAATGGAAACAGTTAATCAATAAAAGAAGAAGAAGAAGAAAATACTTACTCTAGGTCCTAATGGGCCAACTGCCCCAGGATCTCCAGGAACCCCCTATAAAATACATTTTTTAAAATGAAAAACTTTCAACTAAATTTTAGATATTTATTAGCAAGTTTTCCAGATCATATACCTAATTTCTTCTCTAATACATTATTGGACATCTGACTAAGTCCATAATATTGAGTAAAGAAAACTGTGTACACGTTTATAAATGAGGGGATATCATATACATTATATGGAAATACCTGGATGACTGTTTTTTGGCAATGAGCACAGGCAAAATATTATCTCACAAAGATAGTACATTACTTAGTGACAAAGCAAGAACTTTAATTTCCTAACGGAATATGAAAAACTTGTAGCAGAGGAAAGTGAAATTAAAACTAATGAAGTACTGATCTTTAAAATAAGAACAACTTAATTCAATTTACTAAATATTTCGTGAACACAGAATATAGACAACACACTCTGCTAGAAATTGTAAGTTCAAACTAATGCAGTCATGACTATGTTAAAAGTCTTAACTAAAAACTCTTAACTAAAGGAAAATTTGTCACTTAAAATTACAAGTACAATTTTGTATTATAATAATGATACAAATGCTATTTGTATTTAATACAAACAATAACTTTATCAAGTAGGCCTCCAGTTTTATCCTTTAAATGTACTGTCTTCATTGTGGCATGATCTTCCTAAAGCCCAAATTTCATAGTATTTCTCTCTAATTAAAAGCCCTTCCTTAGCTTCCCATTACTCCAGTAATAAGAACAAATTAGACTCAAAACATTCCCTGTCATCCTCTAACCTCATCTTCATCCTCCTCAAGTTGTTCCCATATTTCTGACTTACCATTTTCAGCACCTAAATTTGATCAGCAAACCTTTGCACTTGCTGTTTCCATTTCCTAGAATATTTTCCTACCTTCCCTCCTCCTGACTTATCACCATTTATCCTTCAGATTACATAAAAGATACTACTTTGTTGGGAAAATTTTTTCTAAACCTCCAATGTCTGAATTAGGTGCATCCTCTAGATTTACACATACATAGTGCTTCCCTTATCACTGCAGTTAAAACATGCTATTGTCATAGCTGTCTTTCTATACTCTCTGTCGCTATTAAAATAAAAATTAAGGCAAAGTCCAATTCATCTTATTCAATTGGTTAAGGTCAAAGTTTAGTAGAGTGTAGGGCAGAGTGCTCACCAAATATTTGTTTAAAAGTTAAATGAATGAATAAATCACTCCAAGAAAAATAAATTATATAAACCTATATGTTGGTAAAATGATATAAATAAAATGTAATTTTCTGTTCATAACTGTTTATGAAGTCTCCAGTAAAACACAACAGTTCCAATAAGACATATTTAGTGATTAATAACACAATCCTATAAGCACTTGACATCATATTGGCTGTGTGATTTTGGAAAAATTACTTAATATCTATGTGCCTCATATTCCTCATCTGTAAAATGAGCTACCCAACGCCCAAGGTCAGGGGCGGCAGCCGAGAGGAGCTACCCCACATCCAAAGTAAGGAACAGCGGCTGTGCTGCAGATACCCCACGTCCAAGGTAAGAGGGTAGGTGCTGAGAGAGGGCATCAGAGGGCAGACAGACTGAAGCCACAATCACAGACAACCAGCCAATCTGATCACAGGACCACAGCTTGTCTAACTCAATGAAACTAAGCCATGCCATCTGGGGCCACCCAAGACGGTCAGGTCATGGTGCAGAGGTCTGACAGAATGTGGTCCACTGGAGAAGGGAATGGCAAACCACTTCAGTATTCTTGCCTTGAGATCCCCATGAACAGTATGAAAAGGCAAAAAGATAGGGCACTGAAAGATGAACTCTCCAGGTTGGTAGGTGCCCAATATGCTACTGGGGATCAGTGGAGAAATAACTCCAGAAAGAATGAAGGGATGGAACCAAAGCAAAAACACATCCAGTTGTGGATGTGACTGGTGATAGAAGTGAGGTCCAATGCTGTAAAGAGCAATATTGCAAAGGAACTTGGAATGTTAGGTCCATGAATCAAGGCAAATTGGAAGTGGTCAAATAGGAGATGACAAAAGTGAACATTGACATTCTAGGAACCAGTGAACTAAGATGGACTGGAATGGGTGAATTTAACTCATAGGACCAATATATCCACTACTGTGGGCAGGAATCCCTTAGAAGAAATGGAGTAGCCATCATAGTCAACAAAAGAGTCTGAAATGCAGTACTTGGATGCAGTCTCAAAAATGACAGAATGATCTCTGTTCGTTTCCAAGGCAAATCATTCAATATCACGGTAATCCAAGTCTATGCTCCAATCAGTAACACTAAAGAAGCTGAAGTTGAACGGTTCTATGAAGACCTACAAGACCTTTTAGAACTAACACCCAAAAAAGATGTCCTTTTCATTATAGGGGACTGGAATGCAAAAGTAGGAAGTCAAGAAACACCTGGAGTAACAGGCAAATTTGGCCTTGGAGTACAGAATGAAGCAGGGCAAAGTCTAATAGAATTTTGCCAACAGAACGCACTGGTCCTAGCAAACACCCGCTTCCAACAACACAAGAGAAGACTCTACACACGGACATCACCAGATGGTCAACACCAAAATCAGATTGATTATATTCTCTGCAGCCAAAGATGGAGAAGCACTATAGAGTCAGCAAAAGCAAGACCAGGCTGACTGTGGCTCAGATCATGAACTCCTTATTGCCAAATTCAGACGTAAATTGAAAAAGTAGGGAAGACCACTAGACCATTCAGGTCTGACCTAAATCAAATGTCTTATGATTATACAATGGAAGTGAGAAATAGATTTAAGAGACTAGATCTGATAGATAGAGTGCCTGATGAACTATGGAAAGAGGTTCATGACATTGTACAGGAGAGAGGGATCAAGACCATCAAGACCCAAGAAAAAGAAATGCAAAAATGAAAAATGACTCTCTGAGGAAGCCTTACAAATAGCTGTGAAAAGAAGAGAAGTGAAAAGCAAAGGAGAAAAGGAAAGATATACCCATCTGAATTCAGAGTTCCAAAGAATAACAAGGAGAGATTTAAAAAAGCCTTCCTCAGCGATCAATGCAAAGAAATAGAGGAAAACAATAGAATGGGAACAACTAGAGATCTCTTCAAGAAAATTAAAGATATCAAGGGAACATTGCACGCAAAGATGGGCTCAATAAAGGACAGAATGGTATGGACTTAACAGAAGCAGAAGATATTAAGAAGAGGTGGCAAGAATACACAGAAGAACTGTACAAAAAAGATCTTCATGACCCAGATAATCACAAAGGTGTGATTACTCACCTAGTGCCAGACATCCTGGAATGTGAAGTCAAGTGGGCCTTAGGAAGCATCACTATGAACAAAGCTAGTGGAAGTTATGGAATTCCAGTTGAGCTATTTCAAATCCTAAAAGATGATGCTGAGAAAGTGCTGCTCTCAATATGTCAGCAAATTTGGAAAACTCAGCAGTGGCCACAGGACTGGAAAAGGTCAGTTTTCATTCCAATCCCAAAGAAAGGCAATGAGGCAATGCCAAAGAGTACTCAAACTACCACACAACTGCACTCATCTCACATACTAGTAAAGTAATGTTCAAAATCCTCCAAGTCAGGCTTCAGCAATACGTGATCCGTGAACTTCCAGATGTTCAAGCTGGTTTTAGAAAAGGCAGAAGAACCAGAGATCAAATTGCCAAATCTGCTGGATCATCAAAAAAGCAAGAGTTCCAGAAAAACATCTATTTCTGCTTTATTGATTATGCCAAAGCCTTTGATTGTGCGGATCACAATAAACTGTGGAAAATTCTGAAAGCAATGGGAATACCAGACCACCTGACTTACCTCTTGAGAAGCAAGGTCTGTATGCAGGTCAGGAAGCAACAGTTAGAACTGGACATGGAACAACAGACTGGTTCCAAATAGGAAAAGGAGTACGTCAAGGCTGTATATTGTCTTCCTGCTTATTTAACTTATATACAGAGTACATCATGAGAAACCCTGGGCTGGAAGAAGCACAAGCTGGAATCAAGATTGCCAGGAGAAGTATCAATAACCTCAGATATGCAGATGACACCACCCTTATGGCAGAAAGTGAAGAACTAAAGAGCCTCTTGATGAAAATGAAAGAGGAGAGTGAAAAAGTTGGCTAAAGCTCAACATTCAGAAAACTAAGATCATGGCATCCAACCCCATTACTTCATGGCAAATAGATGGGGAAACAGTGGAAACAGAGGCTGACTTTATTTTGGGGAGCTCCAAAATCACTACAGATGGTGATTGCAGCCATGAAATTAAAAGACGCTTACTTTTAAGGAGGAAGGAAAGTTATGACCAATCTAGATAGCATATTAAAAAGCAGAGACGTTAACTTTGCCAACAAAGGTCTGTCTAGTCAAGGCTATGGTTTTTCCAGTAATCAGGTATGGATGTGAGAGTTAGACTACAAAGAAAGCTGAGAGCCGAAGAATGGATGCTTCTGAACTGTGGTGTTGGAGCAGACTCTTGAGAGTCCCTTGGACTGCAAGGAGATCCAACCAGTCCATCCTAAAGGAGATCAGTCCTGGGTGTTCATTGGAAGGACTGATGCTGAAGCTGAAACTCCAGTACTTTGGCCACCTGATGCAAAGAGCTGACTCAGTGGAAAACACTCTGATGCTGAGAGGGATTGGGGGCAGGAGGAGAAGGGGACGACAGAGGATGAGATGGCTGGATGGCATCACTGACTCGATGGACATGAGTTTGAGTAAACTCTGGGAGTTTGTGATGGACAGGGAGGCCTGGTGTGCTGCGGTTCATTGGGTGGCAAAGAGTCGAACACAGCTGAGTGACTGAACTAAACTGAACTGAAAATGGGCATTATAACAATACCTAGTACATAAAAGTTCTTTTGAGGATTAAAATCGATAATTAATTTAAAGCAAAGCAGAATAGCGCCTGACACATAGTAAGTGATATTATAAGTCAGAAATTTTTAGTATTACTACTTTTATTATTCAAAAACTTACCTGATCACCTGGCTTTCCACCTTCCCCAGGAGGCCCTGGAGGACCAGGAAGCCCCTAAAGTAAAAGTAAGAACATAAACCTGTGTCTCCATGGAAGTTAATAGGCCACTAGTGTTAACACTTCACCCTTTACAATGTATGGAGCTCCCTTACTATTTTCAAGGAAATGATACTGTTCAAACAAAAGTTGAGCAAAATAAAACTAGAAACCTATACCCTTTAATATAACACAGCATCTAATTCTTTTGTGGGTGTAGATTTTTATTTGCACACCACTTAGCAAAAATGATTATGTAGCAATAGGTTCTTTATATTTGTGAAGTATTTAATGGCTCTCAGAACAACATTTTAGGCTGATAGAATAAATATGGAAAGTTAGCCTGAAACTTTTTCCCCAAATTATGATTACCCAATGCTATTAAATATTCTACCAACATATTTAGATAAATTATGAAAATTTGTTCAACAAAAAAATTTATGGCTGAGCCCCTTCACCTAAAACCTGTCACAACATTGTTAATCTGCTATACCTCAACACAACATAAAACGTTTAAAAGAAAAATTTTAGACACCAATAAATTAGATAAGCCTTAATATAGTTAAATAAATCCTACTGAGATATTAAAAGCATTTTATAATTTTTAATTTGTTAAGAGGTTTGGGTTTTGGTCAGTTTTTCAGGGAAAGTGTATTCCTGTTCTTCGAACAAAATTGTTTGATTTCATCCAAATGTCTATCCTATTTACTAAAAGAGAAATTGCTTCTTTGAAAATTATAGAATGTCACATCATTCAACCTTATCCTTTTCATAAAGAAGCATTTTATTGGGGGAAGAAGGAAGGGAAGATGGGGTCAGTGCATACCTGAAAGCCGGTGGGGCCTGGAGGACCCTGCTCTCCTCTCTCCCCAGCTAGACCCTGAGTCACAAAGTAAAGAGAACCATGAACCCCAGGAGCCAGAGCTACTCACTTCCTCTCTGCACGAACTACCCAAGTATTCATATTTCTTTGCATTTCTTCCAATCACAAGTTTTTCACTTTAGCCAGATAATAAACTAGTCCTAAAAATCACCTAATGGTATTGTTTGAAGTCCTTCATGGTGTGAAAATACCTCCTAAAGCCAGCAAAGAAACTGACAACGTGTTCCTTTTTTTATCCAAACATAAGTGTCTGCAGTCAACTGTAAAATTTGTGGGAAAACTGACTATTGGACACAGACAAATTCTTTACTTTTGTATACCCAATCTAATGTTTCCATTGTTGTTTCTCAGTGTTACAAGAACTATTAATCAAACTTTAAAAACTAGAATAACTAGAGAAAGCAAAGCCAACTTTTTAGAAAGATATTTAAATTGTCCCAGTTCAAAACAAATAAACATGTCAAATGATAAACAGATTTTAGACTCCTAGGATGAAAATAAACCTCGAGATATTATTCCTTTAAGGAATAATAGGAATAATATTATTCCTTAAAGGAATAATAAGTAGGAAATAATAAATTTTTATAAGTTTATATTATATAATATAATTATAACTTCTATTATAATAATTCATAATTATACATCACACAATGCATTATTATTCATAATTATCTTCCAGCTTAAATAAATTTCTATAAGGTTTAATATTAGAAAAATAAGCATATTTCAAATAAAATACAGTATAAAATATTTGTCAGATACTATTTTCCTAGCTGCTATATTTTTCAACTGTGACAACATAGAGATGATGAGGTAGGTTTTGCCATTAACATTCATAGAAGCTTAAAATAATAAGGCAGGAGATGCCTTTGCTTTTTTATTTCAGCTTTCAAAAGATATAACTGAAATTCTTTCACCTTGCACTTTCTTACTTGCTTTCCCCTGAAACTTATCCATATGTAAAGTCAAGTCTTAGAGATAAGACAACCATCATTGACAAATGTAATGTGAATATATTTTCAATAAAACTTACCGGGGGCCCCACAGGACCAGAAGGACCAACTTCGCCATCTTTTCCAGGAGCTCCCTAGCATCACAGAGAGATAATATATGAGGTGAGGCCAAGAGAATTTGGATAATTCCATTTTTTTTTTTCCTTAGCATAAAATGGGTAGTTACCCTCTGCCCAGGAACACCAGCATTTCCTGCTTCTCCAGGTTTTCCAGGATCACCCTAGAGAAACAATACAAACAAGTTTAACTTAAGTTTCAATAACAACTGATTGACAGTTGTTATAGCAAGTGAGGATTATGATGAGACGGCAACATTAGACACGGTACTTACATTGCTACCTTTGGGGCCTGGAAGACCCATACTCCCAGGCTGCCCTCTGATCCCTATGGAGCCTGGAGGACCCGGCCGGCCATCTTCTCCTGGAGCACCCTACAAAATTGACAGGAGGAATGCAAGTTTCACATCAGTTCTCTCTGTGTCCCAGCACCCAAACTGTTACTCGTTTTTGCATACTATAAAAGTTATATAAGCTTTAAACTGTGCTACATTTTTATGTTAGCAAACCAGAATAGTTGAGTATTAAAAAAAAAGACTGCTGAGATATTTTAGTACTTAGAACAGAGACTTAATTCTTATTCTATATACGTTTCATCTTTATATCTCTTTACACTCTCATATTAATAGGGGAAATCCTTCTCTTCTTTCATTTACTCTTATGTGTGGTAATGAAAACTCAGGACTTCTGTTTCACATGTACAATAAACGAAGGGCCCAGAATATGTGAGTTGTCAAACTTTATACCTACTTATCTCTTAAATGTATAAGATTGGAAGGATATCAAGAAACAAGATTGTTACTAATGGACAAATTCTACCAATATTCATAAATACATCATTTCAACTTTTTCATTTATGTCAGAGAAGTAATCACAATCTCAAACACTTATTTCAATGTGTGATCAATTTTTGGTCAACTTGAAAATACTCAGAGCCTTAGGATTTGCTTCCAGGAGGGGAGGGTGTATTTCAGACATGATCAGCACCCACACAATCAAAAACATTGGTATTGTTCAGCTGATAGGTCATGTCTGACTCTGCAATCCCATAGACTGCAGTGCACAAGACTTCCCCATCCTTCCCTGTCTCCCAAAGTTTGCTCAACATACATAACCTTAACTAAGGACCTTACCATTCAAGCTGTGTGTCTATTGAGAAATATTAATGGTGGTGGACTTTTGTTTAAATCACTTACCAAAGGTCCAAGTTTTCCTTCAGGACCTTGGACACCAGGATTTCCTGTCAGACCCTAAAAATTAAAAGCAACTGTCAGTTTGCTGCTGACCTACCACTGAAGTAAAGATTCCAAAGAGTAAAAATAGCACTGCATTTAAGATCCAGTCCTGTTTTGCAATGCCCACTCTCAGGAACCTTAGACTCCCCTAGATAAACTCAGAGCTCCGCCATGGACTTCACCCAAAGTGGCTCCAGAGGAGACAGGGCAGACAACACAACACGCCAACAAGGTACCCCAGGTGGAAGCCTCCACTGGGAGAAGTCCGCCCAGCACAGCCTTCAGGGCCAGTCTCCAAGCCTCCTGTAATGGGAGGCCCATGTGAGGAAATCTGTCTACATGCGAAGTGCAAGGTGCCACCCTGGTTTGAAATCTCCAGGTAACCAATTTTTTTTTAACAGCACCTTGGACTTAGTATGCCAGTCCTAGCAAGGTGAAGGCCCAGGTACAAGTCTCTGCAAACTCAAGAAATACAATAGCTATGCCTCCTACCAGGTTCTTAATATCCTTCAGAGTCCTCCAAGTTTAAAATGTATAGTCAGGAGTCATTTTTACTAAAAGTAATTGGCCATTCAGTGGGCATTCCACCTTCACCAGGTATCTAGAGATTATCAAAGCAAAGAGGAACCCAAGGACTGGTTCTCACATAGAAGGAGAGAGAAAGGGTTGTAGGAAACTTTTACTCCTACCTCTAATGAAGGGTAGGAGGTAATAAAGGGTAATACCTCTTTATCTTGAGATAAAGAACTTACACTGAGCCAAATTTATCTTTCCAAGCGACTTTTGTATAATTTTTTCTCTTTAAGGGGCGTTGTTGACAACTGAATATGAGTATTTACAGTTTGAATGAATTTTCAAATGACATTTTGTTAAAATGAAATTTACCAGGAACACTCTCTGGTAAAAGTCAAATTGTTGTTTATTAGCAAATAAAGAAAAATTACAAAAATTTATAAATTGGATTTTTTTAATCAAGTGGTAAAGTTATTGATCCATACCCCTTTGAAAAAAGGAGACGTTACTATTTTTTCTATACATGATAAAAATAACAATTCATAAGTAATAAAGCAAAATCCATAAAAAAAATTTTCCAAAGTTGTGATATTAAGTTATTAAAAAATAAAACCTTTAAAAAACATTTAAAAATTGATTCTCAGGAGCATAGCCCTTGGGTTGATGTAGCAAAAATTGCTGTGTTCTTACCCGAGCACCTGGAAGCCCAGGTTCACCTGGACGTCCTGGGTCCCCCTGACCTCCTTTAGGTCCTGAAGAGCCAACAGGACCCCTCTCTCCTTGAGCGCCCTGTTCCAAAGCAAAGTAGAACATGTCAGGAAATAAAAGAATGCAGGCGAACAAAAGCAACTGTATGTAAAACCCTTGTTTTATAAATCAAACCACTAGTGTAAAAGAATTGGTCAAAGTGGGTACAAAGACCTCTTTGTAAAGCATGTCACTTCACATTTTATTCTCATTTGGATTCCTTGTAATAAAGGTTTTTCATCATTATTTAATGAGAGTTGTGTTTAAAGCCTCACTCCAATAACTCAGATTCAGAAACCCCAGAATTTTTTAACAGTCTAAATTTCTAAAGAAAGGAAGCAAACTATATCAGCTAAAGGAAAGATTTATGGTCTGTTCTTCTCAAGAACTTCCCTGAAAAGTTTGAAAAGCAAACTCCAATATACCTCCAACTATCATCCTTCTCCCTGAGGCCTCTATAATGAAGAAACTGCACAAGAGGGATCTGGCATTAGGTCTAATATCCATGTCCAGCTCTTTTCCAGATCCAGAACCCATGTGAGCCAAAGCTAGATAACCATTCTGGAAAATGGCATCTTTTGCAAAAGCACCCACAAGAATGTCAGTCTTGACAAGATAAACGTACCTTCGGTCCAGGTAAACCATCAGAGCCTGGAAAGCCACGATTGCCAGGAGCACCCTGCAAGTGACCAAAGTATGATTCTCAATTGTGGGTGTTTATGTAACATACACTGAATGGGTAATTGTTATTCTTAGTATTATAAGATTTTAGGAGCTATGATCAAGCCAACACAGCAATAGATATGTATAAGAAAAAGTAACCTGACTAAACAGAAAGAAACTTAAAATTTTGAAATATATATATATATATATATAAGTCGGTGAAGGTAATGGCACCCCACTCCAGTACTCTCGCCTGGAAAATCCCGAGGGTGCAGGAGCCTGGTGGGCTGCAGTCCATGGGGTCGCGAAGAGTCGGACACAACTAAGTGACATCTCTTTCACTTTTCACTTTCATGCATTGGAGAAGGAAATGGCAACCCACACCGGTGTTCTTGCCTGGAGAATCCCAGGGATGGGGGAGCCTGGTGGGCTGCCGTCTATCGGGTCGCAGCGAGTCAGACACGACTGAAGCGGCTTAGCAGCAGCATGTATATAACTACTGAGCCAAAATTATTCAAATCAAGAAATATTCTAATGCTTCACTGTAAAATCAAACTTTGAGAAAAATTGATACCTAGATATAGATACAAGAGGCAAAGAAATGGTACCATGTTTGACAACCAGTGTCAGTGATTATAGGCATTAGTATTGTCTTGGATGTGAAACTGTTTACATTCTCTGAAGCTCTGTACAAAAGTAAGGTGATACTGTTAATCTTCCTTGCAGACCGGTTTCATTATAGTCCAGTCGCAGCAACTTTTTCTGATCGTTCAAGTCACTCAACCTTTACAGGCTTCCTGGATTTGCATTTGTTGTTTGCTCTGCTGAAAATGTTCTTTCTTTCAAATTTCTTGCTGACTCATCCTTATCTTACAGATCTTATCTAGATGCCAACTTCTCAAAGAATCTCATTTCCTAAACACCTAATCTAACAACACATGACTGTCATATGGTTACTCTCTACCACATCACCCTGTTATTCTCTAAATGTAAAATGTGTGATTACACTGAGGAAATCAGAGTTGAAAGAGACACATGTACCCCAAAGTTCATCGCGGCACTGTTTACAATAGCCAGGACATGGAAGCAACCTAGATATCCATCGGCAGACAAGTGGATAACAAAGTTGTGGTACATATACACAATGGAATATTACTCAGCTATTAAAAAGAATACATTTGAATCAGTTCTAATGAGGAGGATGAAACTGGAGCCTATTATACAGAGTGAAGTAAGTCAGAAAGAAAAACACCAATACAGTATATTAACGCACATATATGGAATTTAGAAAGATGGTAACAATGACCCTATATGTGAGACAGCACAATGTACACAGATATAAAGAACAGACTTTTGGACTCTGTGGGAGAAGGTGAGGGTGGGATGATTTGAGAGAATAGCATTGAAACATATATATTACCATATGTGAAACAGATCACCAGTCCAAGTTTGATGCATGAGACAGGGTGCTCAGGGCTGGTGCACTGGGATGACCCAGAGATGGGATGGGGAGGGAGGTGGGTGGGGGGTTCAGAATGGGGGACACAGGTACACCTGTGGCTGATTCATGTCAATCTATGACAAAAACCACAATATTGTAAAATAATTAGCCTCCAATGAAAATAAATAAATTAATTTAAAAATAAAATATGTGATTATATTTTTATTTATAGGTTGACTTATTTATTGCTTACCTCCCCACTAAACTACTGTTTACTAGCTCTCCATGGAGGCTGGGACCGAAGCACTCTTGTTCACTGATGTGTCCCAAGCACCGTGTATCAAAATTGGCATGGAGCAGTTGTTCGATCAATGTTATTGAATGAATGACTAAACAATGATTAGACAGTTGGCTTCCTTAATTCACAGATAGCTATACTTAACTGTGTAATATACCTGCTAGCATTTCTCTTAACTGCTCTAGTTTTCCTCAATTTCCCAAAAGTTCCTCGAATAATCTCCCCACAACTATAAGAATTTATTTTGTTATTCAAATTTTACCCTTTCTCCCATTGGGCCCGGAGGACCAACTGTTCCTGGATCACCTCGGGGACCTCGTTTGCCTTCTTCACCAGGTGGGCCAATTGGGCCCTGGATACCATGTGGCCCCTATTGAAAGCAGAAGGACAGATAACAGAAACAGCCATTCAGCAATCGGGTTACAGTCAAAAGAGTTCAGTGAGTCACAGACTTTAAACTATAGCAAGTGAACTATTTCCATCAAAAAGTTTAATTCTCTTTATCATCCTTTTAAATACTTGAGTATTTTGGGCTTACACTTTGGGATCACATTCATGTTCCTCTTATCATTTAAAAGAAATAAAACCTTACCGGTTCCCCTTTTGGTCCAGCTTCTCCTTTGAAACCTGGGACTCCTGGATCCCCCTAAAATAGGAACATAGAAAACTATAAGAACCAGGATATTTATCCAGCCCAACCTGCTTTAATTGTTACAGTGAATGGGCTTTAACAATTTCTGCATCAGAGTCTGTACTGAATCAATAATACAGTAATTTTTTTAATGTATGCAAATCTTATAGAATGTGAGTGAAATTTTATAAAATCCAGTATTGTTAGGTAGCAATTTGTATATTTTACAGTGATCTTCAAGAGATTTACCCTTAAAATCTTATTTTTAATCATGCATAGTAGGATGATTAGAATAATTAAATTATTATTCCAATTTGATAATAAAAATTAGAACTAACAATGACAACTTCAATAGGTATATCTATTTAGGTTCTCTTTTAGGAAATAGATTTTGTTCACCCAAAACCAAAGTAATTTTATATCTATGTAGTATTTATTAAGATTTGACAACTTCAAATAGGGTATTTTATGTTTAGAGTATTCTAGGATTTGGGGACATGTATAGGAATTTGGTCTTTATATACCAACTACTTTTAGTTGTGGGAACCAAATTGCTAAATTGAGAACATGATAAAATCAAATGTAAAATATCAGCAACATTTATGTTTTTATAAATTTGTCATCAGTTTTTGAAAAGGATTTATCAGTGTAGCCAATTACTTATAACAGAATCCAAAATATTTGTTTTAAGTAGTACTAACAAAAGTTTTAATTTTTTTTATATCAAGCTAAAAGACATATAGTCACAACTTCTCAGTATTTATTTCTTAAGAACTAACCATACTACTTTACCAATAGATGAATACACAAGTATAAAATATACAAATTTCTACAAAACATGGATATTCATTCCATATAAACAATATGTTGGAGTCACTCTTCAAGAATAAATCTCAAGATATAGCTGTTGAACACATGTTAGCCACGCTGTTATTTTAAATCGCCATGAAACTTCCATATTTCCCCATATCCACTTGCAAAATATTCTCATAATATTTATCATTCAACTATTCACAAAATCCTATGAGGTGGATCATGAAGCTACGACCTTACTCTTTTAAATAAAAGAACACTAAAATTGAAGAAAAGGCATTAATTTTCCACTTTGAATATAAACACATAAATTGTACATTAACATTTGGCTTCCACTTTACAAAATTTTCTATCTTCATTTGCCTCATTCAGATAAGTTACATTATCTATGTTTCACTGTATTTCATAACCTATTATTGATATTGATATTTCTCTGGTGACATGAGATGTATTATACAGGGTGATAATTCTTTGAAGGACATTACCGGTTGGCCTCGAATTCCAGGAGGTCCAGTGCTACCCTGAGGTCCTGGAGATCCAGGGGGTCCTGCTAAGCCAGGAGGACCAGAAGTACCCGGAGAGCCCTATTGGAATGCAAGAGTAATAAGCAGAGAGCTCAGCACAGTCTATGGTCACCGTCCCAAGCGCATTGTGTCCCTGTGAACTTCCCGTGGCTTAAATGCAGTTAGTTACTCACCGTTGGGCCTTTAGCACCAGGTGTACCATCAGTTCCTACTGCACCCTAAAGGATACAGGAAAAGTCCACAAGATATTAAGCCATATGTTGGGTGGGATTCAGATGTCCACCCACCTTCCAAAAGGAAGCAGAAAAATTTAACCAAAAAAGAAAAAAAAAAAGGGAGGGATAAAGAAATCAACCATTCTATCATAAAAGTCACTTTTATGACTAATTATCTTTTCCATAAAATAGACAAAATTTGCAGAGTTGACAAGGGAATTTTTTTTTTCCTCATGTGTTCTAAACAGTCAGAATTGAAAGAGAATATTTTAAAATAGATTGCCTTTGTTGTCATGTTATAAAGCATGTCCAACTTGGGGTGACAAGGAACTTACAGGAAGACCTTGGGAGCCAACAGGACCAGGGGGCCCAGTTTCACCTCTTTGCCCTTGAGGACCTTCAGGGCCTCGTGCCCCAGTGGGACCTGCTTCTCCCTAAAGGGGTGCAAGAGGGAAATGTTAATTTTAGAAAAGCCTAAATGCGATGCGGTTCAAAGCTGACTGCTTGTTTGGAGTTTTACATTTTACACCTAATTGTTTGAAGAGGTCAAGAGCACCAAGCAGTTTATAAGGGGTGTATGCCTGATTTTTCTTCAAGGGTGGGCATATTTCCCCACCCCTCTGGATGCTACGGTGCCTACAGCATGTTAGAGCAGATCACCTGGTCAAGGTCACCTGATAGCCTTGAAACACCCCAGTTTTCAACCCCAGATAGGAGTCCAGATAGTAAAAATATAGGATGCCTGGTTTAGTTTTAATTCAGATAAAAAACAATGGATCTCAGTGTCACTCTGTCCCACGCAATGTCTGGAAAACATTTATACTAAAAATTTGTTCTTTTTTTATTTGAAATTCGAATTTACCTGGGTTTCTATGTTTTATCCAAGATACTAAAGACCTAACGTAGGTCAAATCCTAGAGGAACCTGCACCTGGAATTTTAGGACTAAAAATTCTAAGCTTGGGGGTCTCATTGGTATCAATAAAACAAACAAAATTTCTATTGAATCCTATTATCCTTCACTAAAATACAAAGAACTAGATGTGAAAGTTTATTCTTCATGCAGAGAGCCAGAGACCCTGGAAGGAGATTACAGTTGTAGCAGAATTAGACAGAAAACAGACGGGGTTGGGGGGTGTCTTTGTGCTGGGGGTGGGGGGTGGAAAACAATTTCTGAGAGAAACAGTTTCTCAAGGTGTTTAACTTTATTAAGCAGTTCTCAGTAGCCAACAGGCAGTACTAGAAAAACCCAGGAGGAGAGAGAAGTGTCCAAAGTGAACCATTATATAAACTAAGATGGCTACTGAAGTCTGGATCGGAAGCCAAAGTAAGTGTAGAAACCACTTCCTGCCAAGTCAGGGTCCTGGGCTTTGTGGGTATTCTTTCTTGAATTCTCTAGCCAGAGCTCAGTCCAGAGCTCACTTTGAACGTGGAGAGTCTCACAGTGAGAGAGAGAGAGGGAAGGGATTTTGCATACTTTCACTGAGGTACACAGGGAGATTGGGCCCCCCAAGGTCAAGAGTCAGGAGCAGTAGCCTTGGGACTTCAGGGAGCAGACCAGATACAGAGGGGAAGAGAGAGGGTCCTCCTCGGCTGAGCTCACGGCGAGCTCTCAGTCAAAGGAGGGACTGCTTCCTGAACTGTCAGAGGGCGCCATTTTAAAATAAAACAGCCACATCCCTGAGGCACAGAATTTACAGTCAACGTTAGAGAGAGCCAGAAAAATAATTTGACTTGATGACTCCCACATTTATAGACTGTTTGTTTGCTTGGTTGTTTCAAAGTTCAAATCCAATTTGAGCGAGCCCACTAACAAGAAGCGTGAGCCTATAGTGAGGGCGTCGTCTGCCTCAGGCGCTATGCTGTGTGTGTGTGTACTAACTCCAGTCGTGTCCAACTCTTCGTGACCCCGTGGACTGTAGCCCACCAGGCTCCTCTGTCCATGGTATTCTTCAGGCAAGAATACTGGAGTGGACTGCCATTTCCTTCTCCACAGGATCTTCCTGATCCAGGAATCAAAACCACTTCTCCTGTGGCTCCTGCATTGCAGGTGGTTTTACTGCTGAGCCAGTATTTAGCTTATATAGTCTTAATAACCTCTTAATGCAATCTCTGAATTTATCATGCAAAGTACTTGGGAGAAAGAACAAACTATGACTCACTACGAATGTAAATCATCCCAGCAGAATATTTTAATCCATTCCCACGGGGAGAGCCAAATAGCCTCCCTGCCCATTCCTTTAATGATTGTGTAAGTTGGGGGTACAAGGGGAGGGGGGAGACAGATGTGAAGGACCATATTTCATGAGAGAACAGCCTTTTGACAACCCCTGATTTATTTTAACCTCCTATCATTTAGAGCATATGCTATTTATTACTGCCAGACACAGTATTCAAGAACAGAGTTACAATTCGAATTAAACTTTTTCCTTGCAGCTGTTAAATTGTCTGGCATTAGAGTCCTAGTGCAATCAGATTCTTTGATGTTACAATTGTATGATTATAGGTAATTCTTTTTAAATTACTTATATAATAATATCATTTTTTTTCTTTTTTTCTTCTTTTTTTTCATTTTCCATTTTTTCCCTACCATAATGGATATTGAGAGCACTCTAGGTGCTTTCCTTAGTTAACAGCAACTTCCATACTCCTCAATGAATTAAATGACATTCTTTATTTGGGGATTCACATACTTAAGTAATTCATGTCATCAAAAGCTACACATATTAACATCTTACCTTCATTCCAGGATTTCCTGGAAAACCAGCAGAGCCAGGTATCCCAAGAGGACCCTATTAAAGAAACCAGCAAAGTGATGAGACATGTGTTTTAATCAACATTTTATCAACATGTAATCTTTTATCCTTTGAACATTCTGTACTTTGATATATAGGAATAATCCACTTAGTATTTTAAAATCACAAGGATAATATTATAATTTTATTATAAGAATTTTGCAATATTGATATGAGACATTGGTAGAAGAGGTGTCCAGTGGTATTAAGCATAACAGGATCTTCTAGTTGTAGCATATGACAGTCAGTCAGTCACAAACACAAATTGTCTGAAACAATTGCTTCTTGAGAAATTACTTTTTTTGTGTTAACCAAGTAATAAAGATAGTTTTTAGAAAGTTACACATTGTACCAAAACCTAGAATCTCACTTTATAAAAATGATGCTTAAGAATCAGCTGGATACCTTAGAGTGATTTTTTTCAGGCTACTAGCAAATGAACATGTGTCACTATACTACCTTTGGAAAGGCATGAATGGAGTCTAAACCATTGATTTAAAAGCTGAATTGAGAGGAAATTAATGTAGATGAATTTCATTCTAGGTTATCCTGATTCTTCTCTGAGGACTGCATTTTAATGCCATCAACTTTTGCGTGAATAAAAGCCCTTTTAAGTTACACTTATTTTTCTTCCTATAGTTTGTTTCATTTTTGTGAGTAACGAGGGAGAAGAGATCTTAAGGACAAGTAATTTCAAATCCAATCCACCCTCATAGTATTTCCCTGAGTTTACTGTGGACCACACTATACTCTTATTCTCGTCATATGCTCGTCTTTCAAGACTAAGCTTAACCGTTGCTCCTCTTCGAGTCGTCCTGGAGATCTTTGCCTCTCACCACTGGGGTCAGTACAGCTAGGTCCCCTACTGCGTGCTGCTTCCCCTATTACAGCAGTTAGCAGTAGCATTCTGCTACAGTATTAATTGCTATATCTCTCTTCTTTGATAGGGAAATGCTCAAAAACAAGCACAGTGGATTTATTGTCTTTTTACTCCAAGCAGCTGGGACACAGCAGGTGCTTCATAAATGTTAATGAATGTACACATGGAAGAATGAGTGAATAAATGAATGAATGAATATGAAAGCAATACACTCACCATTGGCCCAGGTTTTCCAGGCATACCATGTGCTCCTCGCTGTCCCTAAGTAGAAGAAGAGAGACGGTAAGAGTGCATTTCTATGGAACTTGCTGATAAGGCATTCACTTCACAAAAATTTCCATGTTAAAAAATTGGACCCATTATACAGAGTGAAGTAAGCCAGAAAGATAAAGACCATTACAGTATACTAACACATATATATGGAATTTAGAAATATGGTAACGATAACCCTATATGCAAAACAGAAAAAGAGACTCAGATGTATAGAACAGACTTGTGGACTCTGTGGGAGAAGGCGAGGGTGGGATGTTTCAAGAGAACAGCATCAAAACATGTATATCTAGGGGGAAACAGATCACCAGCCCAGGTTGGATGCATGAGACAAGTGCTCGGGCCTGGTGCACTGGGAAGACCCAGAGGGATGGGGTGGAGAGGGAGGTGGGAGGGGGGACCGGGATGGGGAATACATGTAAATCCATGGCTAATTCATTTCAATGTATGACAAAAACCACTGCAATGTTGTAAAGTAATTAGCCTCCAACTAATAAAAATAAATGGAAAAAAAAAATTGGAGAATATCCATTAAGGTTGACTGACAACAACCTTAACTAGGTTAAGAGCAATAAAAATACACATTTATACAACATGGGTAAGGGAGCAATAAAACACATCTATCCAAGGATAAGAAATAAAAATCAAAATTGGAAATATAAAACTGAGTAAAATGATTTTGTTTTTACTTGAACACGTCACCTTCTATCAAACAAGCTCAAAGACAGAGAAACTTTGAACACTAGGCTCTTCTTAATAGCTAGAATAATAATGTGTTTGGAGTAAAACAAAAAGCTAAAGCTCACAGCACACGCATATACTCACCCACAAAGGAAATTAAGTGATAGTGAATGCTGTGTGCATCACCCAGATCCCCCCTCAGCACAGAAGTAAGCATCCTATCACCACTGGACGTGTTGTAAGCTGATGGCTCACATCTGAGACCCTCCCCACAAACCGCTGCAAGATGAGAGCTATTCCAAGATTATGCCTGTGCCCTTCCATGGTCAATGTAGAGAAACAAAGGATTAGCCCCAATCAAACCAGTCTGAAGAGCCATTTCAGTTCCATAGTTCTCATGGAATGGAAGATACATGGAGACTGAGGCCTCTGTTGCAAATGTAACACAGCTTTAATTTCTCCTTGTAACAAGCCCTGCTTATTTCATCAATTTCTTAATAGGTGTAGTTTCTGAGTGCACTCCTCAATAAATTCCCTGCACACAGTCTTTGCTTTGATACCAGTTCGGTGGAAAACTGACTCATATGCCATTGGTGCCAGAGATAGTCAAAAAAGCAGATGCTAAAATGGAATTTTTAATCTGACTTCCACACTGGCCAGCTGGTGATAGATGCGGTATGGAATTCTCTTGGCATGCTGTAGTGATGTAGTGGTAAATATTGTTTCCAACAGTGAACTGAGATAGGTACACATGTAAGGGAATGGGGGGCTTGATGTCAGAGACACAGGTTCAATCCCTAGGTTGGGAAGATCCCCTGGAGGAAGACATGGCAACCACTCTAATATTCTTGCCTGGAGAATCCCACGGACAGAGGAGCCTGGTAGACTACAGTCCATGGGGTCACACAGAGTTGGACACAACTGAAGCAACTTAGCACGCACACAAGGGAATGGGCTATGGGTGCAATAGCTCAGGCATTTGAGAAGGTGTAGAGGATGTAACAATGATAAAGTTAATGGAATCCTATGGGTCTTGTTGAGTGAACCCACTGGAGAAAGATGTTGTAAGGCTGATGGTAATTAATTATCAATATAAACCTCCTTAGCAGCATTTAAAAATATTATCATCTTTTACAGCTAGAGGGAAGAAAAAGTTGAAGATCAGCCCAGGACTTATTGCTAAAGGTTTAAGTACTCTTGAAAAGGTTGAATTCTAAAACATGGAAATTCCGCTATGCCATGGTCAAGGCCCTTGATTGGAAGGATGGGCACTGAAATTTAGCACTGGGATATATTAAGAACTTTGAAATCTCAGAGACCCTGAAGCCTCTGGGCCTACAGAAGTGATCCTTTCCCATTAACAGTTTATACTTCCCTCTTGCTTAAAGATGATAGAGAGCCCTCTGCTTTACCAGACAATATAGCTACCACCACCACTACCTGCTTCTCCCCTGGCCACTAGACCAAGAACTAGCATCAAGTCACAAAATAGCTTGGTTGAAGGAATGCTGTCTCTGATAAAAGAAAGAAGAGATTATTTACCAAAAACACTGTAAGTTCTGTACCTCATGCAGAGGCAGGATTCAAGAAAGAACACATGGGACTAGGTCCTAAAGGTATGCGATTGAGAGGGACAGGGTATGAAACTGGAGAATTTTAGTGATTTGGAAGCACTCTACCATAATATATATTTAACACCCAGATAAAGACTCTGGGAAATAGTATTAACAGAGAAAATAGCTTCTGGAAACTTGGAAAGAGCAGTGGCCCACACTAAGTGAGGTAGAAATGCCAGAGCTGCCTGGGCAGACAGTAGAATAAGGCACAGAGATGTAAACACAGTAGATTGAAAATAATATATATGGCTGGATAAAATAAGAGCTCACTTTGGCTGACTTTATTTTTCTGGGCTCCAAAATCACTGCGGATGGTGATTGCAGCCATGAAATTAAAAGACGCTTGCTCCTTGGAAGGTAAGTTATGACCAACCTAGATAGCATATTAAAAAGCAGAGACATTACTTTGCCAACAAAGGTCTGTCTAGTCAAGGCTATGGTTTTTCCAGTAGTCATGTATGGATGTGAGAGTTGGACTATAAAGAAAGCTGACCGCAGAAGAATTGATGCTTTTGAACTGTGGTGTTGGAAAAGACTCTTGAGAGTCCCTTGGACTGCAAGGAGATCCAACCAGTCCATCCTAAAGGAGGTCAGTCCTGAGTGTTCACTGGAAGGACTGGTGTTGAAGCTGAAACTCCAATACTTTGGCTACCTGATTGGAAGAACTGACTCATTTGAAAAGACCCTGATGCTGGGAAAGATTGAGGACAGGAGGAGAAGAGGATGACAGAGAATAAGATGGCTGGATGGCATCATCGACACAATGGACATGAGTTTGGGTAAACTCTGGGGGTTGGTGATGGACAGGGAGGCCTGGCGTACTGCGGTTCATGGGGTTGCAAAGAGTCAGACACGACTAAGTGACTGAACTGAACTGAACTTATATTCTACAATATTCTCTACATTTCCAGGGGACACTCTACCTATAAGTGATAAGGAATGGTCTAGTGAGAGGGTCTCACTTGTTCTGAACCAAGGCCCTGACTTTAGTACCACTGAGAAGCTCTAAGGTGGTTGTCTTCTGTGGGATCATAGTAGGGGATGTGATCAACCTGGGACTCTTAATTCTAAAGATGATAAGATATTAAAAATAAGCAAGGTCAGATGGCAGCCCTTAGTTGTCAAAAGAAAAGTGGGTGTAATGTAATGAACTGCAAGTTTGAAATATTAGCTAGTACAGCCTAACTTCCAGAGAGCTGTGAAGAGAATGAATAAAATAACTGCCCCTGCCCCAGGTTTAAGGTAGATGGGCAGAGAGCAAGAGTATTTCTCAATCTGTACAATTAAAGCGCTTCCTAGGTGGTACTATTGGTAAAGAAACTGCCAGGCAATGCAGGAGACATAAGAGATGAAAGTTTGATTCCTGGGTCGGGAAGATCCCCTGGAGAAGGGCATGGCAACCAACTCCAATATTCATGCCTGGAGAATCCCGTGAGGATTCTCAGAGGAGCCTAACGGACTACAGTCCACAGGGTCGAGAAGAGCATGACGTGACTGAAGCAATTTAGCAGGTACAATTAAAATCAATCAAGGGAAAATGATCAGGAGAATCTGATCTTTTAAAGGGTTTATTCATAGTATTACCTTTTAGGATTGTGAGGAACAAGAGATAAAGATGTTTAGAACACTTGGTAAATAATAACATTTTCTTAATTTCTTTATTAAAAAAGTAGGCAATGAATATACTTTGGTTATGTAAGATGTTAACATTAACAGAAGGTAGGTAAAGTGTACCTGGGAACTCTCTATTCTATCTTTGCAACTTTCCTGTAAACTTAAAATTGTTTCAAAATGAGAAGTATAAAAATTACAAAGTAAGTAAAGTAAAGTTTATTCTCCCTTAAAAGGCATATTCAACAAAGTATTTGAAAGAGCTGAAATACACATACTTACAGGAGCACCCTGTGGTCCAAGCCTTCCTCTCTCTCCTGGCATTCCTCTTGGACCCTATAGATGAGAGAGAGAGAATATCTCTTGAAACATCTTACTTGAATCTGAGAGTACTTTGATTTCATTTTTCAAATCAATTATTAATAAAATCACTACTCATTATAATTGGCCTAAGTAGATTTCACTCAATCTAGCATTAATGGCCTAAGTCTATAATAATCCTGATTTGGTCACTGGGTACAGAAAGGAAAAGTGCATTCAACAATTAAGAGAAACAATGTAATGCAGGAACCCTTTTCTATTTGAAAGGGCAGTTCTTATAGGATACTTGCCTTTCAGCTGATAATAAAGAATTATTTCACCAGCTAACATATGCTCTCTATGTCTTTTTTTCCATTTAAATATTCTCTTAGCATAATCTAAAAAGCAAAGAAATAGCAACAAATTAAATTGATACGTACCAGTGGACCCATGGCACCCATTGGACCAGTAGGGCCAGCTTCACCCTAAAGCAAAAGTGAGATCACATTACAATACAGGAAGCCTACAATTGATATTCACAATATTCTCTTCCAAGTGTGTTATTTTAAAGGCTTATTTTCAAAGTGAGCATTTGAAAGGTATACTTTCAATAAAGGACCTCAAAACTATGCTGTATCACCTATTCTCAAAAAACAATGGAAATTTAGTGTCTACAGAAATAAATCTAAAATCAAATTGGGAATTTAAGCAAGATTTATGGGACAATCTTTTTTCACTTTCATTTTCTTTACACCTAGCCACATTAATCAAAGTTTAATACAAATGCTTAGTCTATGTCTGATAATAAAAGTAAAATTTTACAAAACTAAAGTTGACTATAATATTCCTTTAAGAGCTCTTGTAGGAAGCTTAGAAATGACAAATTTAAAGCCAAATGCTTTTTCACACATGTATCTCATTGTACTTTCCATTAAAAAGTCATCTGCACGTCTTAGATGTTCTCTTTCCCTCTAGAAGCATAAATAAATTTGGGGAAGAAACAATGGCCAGAAGGCCCTAAAGTTAAAAGGGTACTAAATAATGGGACCAACGAACCGTCTAAAGCTCTCTGATATTTTTAAAGAAGAATAAAGAGTGAATGTGTTTTAGAGAGTGGATTCATAGTGCATCTTTATATAAAGGTAACACTCATCTTACATTGGTAGAAATAAAATAGCATGGGAGGGGTTTCCAGTGGGAAAACAAGGTCACATCATGTATCCTCTTCAATCTACTACCACTCATCCATGAAAAATTATATTTATCTACTTAAGTGTTCATTCTTTATACTACTCTTTCCTCTAGAACTATTTAAGAACTATTCTATTAGTTCTATTCTAGAACTATTTAAGAACTAGAACTATTGAAAAAAATTTTAGACTTGAAGAAGGACAGAAATTCTGTTGTGACATTGTATTGAGATATTATTCATTTACCTTGGAACCAGTTGCTCCAACTTCACCTTTAGGGCCTTCAAGACCTTTGTGTCCCTGAGAAGAAAAATGTAAATTTGTATTTAACAGCTTTTTTGAGCCTCAGGCAGATAAAAGAAGAACCAAAAACAAGTTCACAGGAAGCGCCTTATGAAAACAGATTACAAATTTAAAGTCGTTACTCAAAATGTTCCCAAATTCTCATCTCTTTTTTTGAAAGTCTACTCAATGAAAATTAAAGTAGGGTTTCCCTCTTTAAATAACATTTTCAATTTGCAGTGGGCTCATCTTTCAAATTTTTGTGACTTCATAGAAATTTAATTAATAGAACCAGAAAATGTATGGTGGCCTTAGGGGAAACAAATGGTTATAGAATTTAGTTATAAAATATGGTTCATATCCGAGTGATTTTAAACATATTTAATAACTAGTACAGCACAAGCATTCTAATCATAAGCTCAACCACTCAAAACAGAGGCCAGCCAATGTACACTGAGTGAATATCAACTATGCTTTCAGATAGATGTGTAATTTCTATGTACATATGCATGTAACTAATAGTTGCATATTCATTATCTTGAGTTAAAGAGAGAAGCATTCTACAGCCTTCCATGTCTGAGTTGGATCTGAGTTGACTAGGCCCCTATGATCCAGTACACTTTATGGTTTTATGTAAATATTCCACTATGTAGTAGTTGCCTATTTTCTTAAAGAAATCTCATTAGATTGAAGCTGAGAGTCACGGACATTTCTCATTTATCACTACTTTCTTATTTATAGCACAGTATTCAGCACATTGTAAGAACTCAAAACACATTTGTTTATAGAATCAAATGAAATTCAAAGGAAATGTAAAAAAGCATTGTGATTTTGGTAACTGACATCTACTGTAACCAGAGCTACTTAAGGGCAATTGACAAATGAAATTGTTAAGGTTTTGAAGGTAATGCTCCCCAGAGCCTACTCCATAAGCCAGGGTATCTAAAAGGATTACAGAGGATTGAACTTACTCGGTGACCCTTCAGGCCTGGAAGACCAGGAGCTCCAGGAAATCCTCGAGCTCCCTGTGGGGGGAGAAAGAGATAAGGCATTTCAGAGTCATTAACTGCATAAAACAATTTTTTTTTCCCGAAAAAGATATTTGGTACATAGTTTTTTTACCAACAAACCTAAGAAGAAAAAGGAGAAATATATTTTTATATGTCAAAATACATCTAAGTTATCAAAAAATTAGCAAGCCAAATGAAAACAAGTCTTACACAAAGACATGGGTTAATTCCAGGTGTTGATTTGATGACATTTTTAAATTTTCAAATGATATTGCTGTGCTATAATTAGTCAAGAATAAACAATAAGAAAATAAGCCTGAATCTACATTCTCTGTGTCTAAATCAAGTCGGTCAAGGTATAGGAAAAACAATCAGGAAACTTAAGGAAAATTATGCTTTCTCTCTTTTATATAAGTGTTTTATTTGTGGTAGAATAATAAATGCATTTGTAGCAAATAAGTATAATCTATTTTTTCTGAACTTCTAAATATTATCAGTAGAGTATGATTAGAAATATTACATTAAACTGTTATCAGAACTTTGTAATAAAATATTCAGGAGAAGGTTATAGATTTGTAATTGTTTAAAAAACTGAGAAAATGAAATATCCAACAGAAAAGAAAGTCAAGTAATATAAAGGTTGATTCCTTGACTCAACTTCTTAATTTGTCAATTCTGTGCATCCTTCACCTAACTGTATAAATTAAAAAAAAAAAAATCAGACACTAAGTCAAATCCAAAATGGCACAACTTCTTTGAAATTATGCTTGAAACTTTTTCCTCATACCCTCTTTAAATAGTTAAGGATCCAGTGACTTAATTACTCACTTATTCCAGTTGCCTACATTAAATAGGTTTTGTGTTGAAGCCTATCTACTGTACCAGTCCAGTAAGCACTTTGATAGCACAGACTGATGCTATCAATTATTATCACTATCAATCTGCATATCCCTAACACTTAGCTTTCTGCCTTATTAGTAGGCATTCAAGAATAAAAACTGAATAAACAACTGAATAAAGAAATGGCTTCCCATTCATCATCTTCTTCATCTTCTTGACACTCATAGAGCTTTTCCTAAATCTTTCAAGGAACTTCTCTTGTCTTGGTACAATCTTACAGAGATGGCAAAATCCTTCTGTTCTGTATTAACATACCCTTTACTTAGTGTTAACTAAATGAATGAACAAACAGCTCAATAAACAAACTTTGTATGATAAAAGCAAAGCAATAATTCTTCCATGACCTCTTTCAGGAAAAATGTTTCTGTAGTGTTTTGTAGGGGGTTATCACAGTAAGGGCACATCAAACCCTGCACTTTGAACACATAAAATTTCACTAAATCTTCTGTTTACACAGTCGAACTTAGGAATTCTTTCACTTCAAAATGCCCTTTAAGTTTTTCCACTGGAATCCTGCCCTTTACTGAGATTCATCTCCCCACCATCCTGAGCAGAAACAGCATACATCCGTCTAAGCCTATAGAGGAATTACTGAGCTACGGTACTTCAAACAACTAATAAACTTTTGTGGTCTGCAAGGGAATTCTCATGTGATTACATATCTCTAATATAGCAAGAAAATAAACCAGATGTACTAGCGCTCATAAAATTTTTCTCTTTCTGCTGACCCAAGACTGTCATCACACCCCAATCACACATCATTGCACGGCCCTTGCGGAGTGCATCTGTGACATGCTGGCGGGGCGCCTTTCTTCCCTGTGGAGGGCCCACGCTGTGAGTAGGTGCGAGTGTGCAGCAGGGCAGGATTTTCAAGCCTGGATTGGTTCACACCAACATCTGTGCTAATGACTAAACCACCTGTCTTTGTCTGCAGGCTTTGTTTGCAGGCTGATGAGGGAAGAAAGGAAAAAGAGAGCAGGGAGCTGCAGGCCTGGTTTTATGTTCGAAACTAAATGATCCTTACAGTCCTATGCTTAAATTCCCGTAAAAGATCATCAACATTTGTTTGTCCAAAAAGTCCCTAGCATTGAACCTCATCAATTTTCATAAAGTAAATGGACAATAATTCAGTATAGTTGTATGTATGTGGTGGTAGAAATATTAGGATATTACAGGAGATGTAATAGGGTAGGAGGTTGAATCAGTTTAGGGGATTCTGGACCAAGAGAAAGCCTAAGAGCAGGAAGGTTAGAGCATTTATGCTTACTTATCATTTTCTACCTTTCCCCACTGTCTCGGTAGCACATCCCAGGCGAGCACCTATCAAAGTAACATGAGTGAAGAAAGACAGGTGGGTTCAGAGCAGCTAAATGACCCAGGTCTTGAATTCTTATAGAGCTAGTTACTCTCCCTGTATTGAGCCAAGTGAGAAGAAGACAACTGTTATGAGGAGACCTGGTGATTAATATATCTGGTTACAAGCTTTTAGGAGAAAGAACATCAATAAAGAATTTCAGTCAACAATAGGGTTTGGGGAACAGCCAAAGAGGCATCCTGTCCACAATTTATTGTCCTGGCATATAAAAAACAAATCAATAAAATCTTTAAACCTGTTATTTTTGACATATGAATACAAAATCTTTTAAAAAACTAAAAATATCTTTAAAAGATAAATTGGGATTGAGATATTATGAAAGGTAAGTAAGTCAAGCTGGTGACTTATCTGAAAATTTGGTACTCATTTTGGGAGAATCCATGTTAGGTTATAATTCTCTAGCTCTGGGAGGGTCATTCATATGGTGCCAATGCAAAGCAAGGAATTCGAATTAGTTCTCATCCTGGCAAAATGTCCTGTTTCACAATAACAGAAGGGAACATATCTTGGTAACAGTGTCTACTGCATGTGCAGACAATGAATGGTGAGTTAGTTTTAAATGTTCTTTATTTTTTGAATTTTGTCTTTATATTGTTATATTGATCAGTATAAACTTACCGGAGATCCTGCAAATCCCACTTCACCAGGTTTTCCATTTCTACCAGGCTCGCCCTTTATGGGAAAAAAAGCAAAGAAGAGGAAAGCAAAGAGGGATTTAAAATTTTCTCTTCTGAGACTTAATGACAAGTCAATTACAGATGAAAAATCTTCCTTAGAAAGTTCACATCCAATGATCTAAGCAGTGTGGGAACACAGCTCTACTCCTGAGGGCAGTCCATTATAGCAAGTCAGTCTGTGGAGATTCCATTCATTTATCAGAAGAAGAAATAAATATAAATTATACTGGTCTGAGCTAGCTGTCCATTTTATGAACATCGAAATTTGCACACACACACACGCATGCCATGAAATGTACATCAACATGCAGCACTGAAACAGTGCTTCTCAAAATAAATTTAAATTTATTTCTTGTGATGAAAAAAAATTTAATAACTACCAGAGATATTTTCTTTATGGCCAAATTCATTGTAATCTACTTAAATAAATCTCATGACACACAAAAAGAAAATATCTTCATGTTTCAGTGTCAAATAGACGTTAATGGCCTACCTAATGATTTTATCCTCAACTTTGGTGCATCTAACAGAGGAATTCAGGAAAGCAAATCTGTTGTTATACACTTAAGAACACTGATCACATGTTCTTAATGTTAAAATCTGAAATTTAGGCTTAACTTTAAAAATTCAATTAAAGAAACAACTTTTTGAGCATTGGAGAGCAATACTGACACTATTCTGTGAACACATTTTTTAAAATCCACTTAATGATGAACTCATAATGATCTTTTGGGATCGAAGAAATGTGTTGTTCCTTAAGATCACTTCAAAAGCTCTGTCCACCAAATGTTGTTGCTGTTGTGACAGCAATTTTAGTATCCCATGGAGAAATCATAATGGAAAACCTGAAGAATGCAGGCAAAGATACAGTACCTAACAATACAATACCATCAAAATTAAGAGCACTTTCAGATTTTATAAAATTCCATTCTGACCTCTCCTGTTTTTATTAAATTTAATGACAGTAAAAAGTAGGGGAATGAAATGGGAACCAATGAATAATATTCATGTTGATGTCGCAACTCTTTCCTACCCAAAATTTTGCAAATTTTGAAATTGGAAAAATTTCAAAGCAAAATGAAGAAAAGCAGCTTACATCTTCACCAGGTTTTCCAGGAGGGCCCTCTGGTCCTCGTGCACCAATTGGACCCTAATAACAAAACAAAACAAAAGGAAAATAAAGATATTTACCTTTATTTACCCATATTCATCAAAGATACAATCCAAAATACTGTTGAGACAAATGAAAAATATCAGAGAAAACAACTTCATTAATATTCTGAAGTTTATGTTGTATCTCTCAGATTATGTGTTCAAAGGAAAAAAATTTAATTTCACAAATGCACATATCTTAGCACTTTCAAAAACTCTGAATTTAAGTACTCTGCCACAAGAAACATATAGCTTAAGCCCAGTCCATAACACAGGACTCCTGAATTGGACTAGAATATATTGCTACATTAGGAAAGAGGTGGTAACATAAATAACTCATGACATCATTATAATGGCGGACCCATAGTTAACTGGGTCTACATGCTTACTTGACATTTACCATTGGGCCGGGGTCACCAGGTTCACCAGGAGGTCCTGCTGGGCCAACACCACCCTAAAATAAAAAAAAAATTGTATAAAATTTATATATAATACACAAATTATATGAACAAATCAAACACAATAGTAAATCCTATACTGTCTGCAATATAGTGCAATTGCTCAAAATGTTGACTCTACCATTCTCCAGCTATGACTCTGGATGAGTTATTAATAGTTCATCCCTCTATATTGCATTTCCTAATCTGTGAAATGAGAATAATGTGGTGCCTACTTCATTAAGCTGCTATAACTCTTTAGATAACTAATGCATATTGAGAGCCTAGAACAGTGCTGGCACAGAGTGAGTGTCAGTAGTGGTAGTCATCTCCCTCTTCTCTTCCTTCTTCTTTATCAAATACATTTTCCATTCACAATGGCAACTGTAAAATAGCTTGGAGTAAAACTCCACACACATGATAATGAAAATACGGCATGTTTGAGCTAGGAATTCTTTTCTCTCTCTCTTTAGAAAAAAACATTTTCTACAGACTGTCGAATCACTACAAAAATTAAAATAGCTCTACATCAGTATATTATTGGTATTTGAAAGGTTATAGAAAGAAAGTACAGAATTATATGCTTTGTAATGATTTCATGGAGTGATCATTGTCACTGTTATTTCTGTTACTACTACGTGGTGATATTCTTCTATGATCTCATTTCATAGCTCCAGAGTTGGCACATAATTAATTATAAGGATTTTCACCATGACATGAGATAATGATCTGTTATTTTACAAACATAGGCACATAAAAATTCTTTGTACTGGAGGTCAGTCACATAAAGAAACCAGGTGATAAAGCTTTAGCATCATGAAAAATCTTTGAAAAACATATTGAATATATTTTTTCAGTTCAGTTGCTCAGTTGTGTCTGACTCTTTGCAACCCCATGAACCGCAGCACACCAGGCCTCCCTGTCCATCACCAACTCCCAGAGTTCACCCAAACCTATGTCCATTGAGTTGGTGATGCCATCCAACCATCTCACCCTCTGTCTTCCCCTTCTCTTTCTGCCCTCAATATTTCCCAGCATCAGGGTCTTTTCAAATGAGTTAGTGCTTCTCATCAGGTGGCCAAAGTATTGGAGTTTCAGCTTCAACATCAGTCCTTCCAATGAACACCCAGGACTGATCTCCTTTAGGATGGACTGGTTGGATATCCTTGCAGTCCAAGGGACTCTCAAGAGTCTTCTCCAACACCACAGTTCAAAATCATCAATTCTTCGGAGCTCAGCTTTCTTTATAGTCCAACTTTCACATCCATACATGACTACTGGAAAAACTATAGCCTTGATTAGACTGACCTTTGTGGACAAAGTAATGTCTCTGCTTTTCAATATGCTGTCTGTATTGGTCATAACTTCCCTTTCAAGGAGTAAGCGTCTTTTAATTTCATGGCTGAAATCACCATCCGCAGTGATTTTGGAGCCTAGAAAAATAAAGTCAGCCACTGATTCCACTGTTTCCCCATCTATTTGCCATGAAGTAATGGGATTGGATGCCATGATCTTAGTTCTCTGAATGTTGAGTTTTAAGTCAACTTTTTCACTCTCCTCTTTCATTTTCATCAAGAGGCTCTTTAGTTCTTCTTCACTTTCGGTCATAAAGGTGGTATCATCTGCATATCTGAGGTTATTGATATTTCTCCCGGCAATCTTGATTCCAGCTTGTACTTCTTCCAGCCCAGCGTTTCTCATGATGTACTCTGCACATAAGTTAAATAAGCAGGGTGACAATATACAGCCTTGACGTACTCCTTTTCCTATTTGGAACCAGTCTGTTGTTCCATGTCCAGTTCTAACTGTTGCTTCTTGACCAGCATACAGGTTTCTCAAGAGGCAGGTCAGGTGGTCTGGTATTCCCATCTCCTTCAGAATTTTCCACAGTTTATTGTGATCTAAGTGAGTGAAAATTAATTGAATACAGCCCATTCAGTGAGCATTGTTGTTGTTCAGTCACTCAGTCGTGTCTGACTCTTTGTGACCCCATGAACTGCAGCATGCCAGGCTTCCCTGTCCTTCACCATCTCCTGGAGCTTGCTCAAACTCATGTCCATTGAGTTGGTGATGTTATCCAACCATCTGGTCCTCTGAGCATTACAATATGCAATTTAAAGCCTAGCCAAAAGCAGTCAAGTCCCAGAGAACTTATTTATTTTTCTTTTTTTTTTTTTACAGTATGTCATTTAATTATAAAAAACTTACCTGCTGCCCTTGTAAACCTTGAGGACCCCTTGGGCCAACAGGACCCTTAAAAACAAATGAGAAGAAAAGTTGCATAGTGTTCATGACAATTAGTTCACAACTCTCAAAAATGTTGAATTCACTTTAGAATATGGAAAAATGAATCTCTGACAGTGAAAAGTGATGCCACTGTCCTTCTGTATTCACCTGGAATACAGCTAAATTCAAAAAGGTTAAAGTTTGGATAATGTTTAGGATCATCTTATACACACATTCAGAGTCATGGAAAGGAATAAAAATGCCTGTGCACACCCAATGTCTTGGGATGAGAACTCTTGAATACTTAAGGGGTGGTTTAACTGAAGCAGAAAAATTTTGGCAAGCATAAAGTTGTTATCAAACCGTCTATTTAAATCTTCAGCTTCACAGCAAATAACTCATAATTTAAATGAGTACATTGAACTAAATGCTCATGAAACTATCAACAATAGCAACTGGATTATTTTAAATGTAAGTTTTAAATGATCTGGGGCACTGAGTTTTGTAGGTTATTTCTTTCTTTCATGACATACATTTAAAGTTCCACACAGACTTCCCCCATTTATTATGAAATGCTTACAATGTGACATAACAAAGGTAAGAGAAGGAAAATGCTATTTTAAAAGTTTTTAGTAAATATCTATGTAATTTTTTTTTAATGTCACACTTTAAAAAGTGAAAGCAATTAAATCAAAATCTAGTTTTTCTTATGAAAACAAATTTTTGTTTTGGATTGATCAGATTTTTAGCTAGCAAGAAAATAAGAGCTTCATTTAAAAAAATAAACACACCTGTAACTTGAACTTCAAATGGTTAAAAACATGTATTTCAGAAAAATACCCCCAGTTAATCATTGAATGAGACTATACTGCTACTGACTTAGAATGTGTATAATTAAACAATGTTTAAGTGACTTAAAATATATACCAACAATTTTTAAATTACTCACTGGCCTTAAGGATGGGTGTGTGTCCAAAAACATTCCATTTTGTCTGACTATTTGTAGTCCCATGGACTGTAGCCCACCAGGCTCCTCTCTTCACGGGGTTCTCCAGGCAAGAATACTGGAGTGGAATACTGGATTCTCCTCCAGGGAATCTTCCCCACCCAAGAATTGACCCAGGGTCTCTAATGTCTCCTGAATCAGCAGGCAGGTTCTTTTTTTTTTTTTTTTCCATATTTTTATTAGTTGGAGGCTAATTACTTTACAATATTGTAGTGGTTTCTGCCATACACTAACATGAATCAGCCATGGATTTACCTGTATTCCCCATCTCGATCCCCCCCTCCCACCTCCCTCTCCACCCGATCCCTCTGGGTCTTCCCAGTGCACCAGCCCCGAGCACTTGTCTCATGCATCCAGCCTGGGCTGGTGATCTGTTTCACTATAGATAATATACATGTTTTGATGCTGTTCTCTCGAAACATCCCACAGCAGGCAGATTCTTTACCACTAGCACTGCCTGGGAAGCCCAAAGGATAGGTAGAAGGGGTGTTTATCTATGCAGTCTGACTTTACATTGTCTGAAATGTCATTAATCTGGAATGCCTTTGAATTATGTTATGAGCAAAAATGTATGGAAGAGTTGCTTTGCAAAGAGTTAATTCATTTAATGAAATTACATTGTTCCAAATTCCCAGGTTAAAGTAAAGAAAATGGGAATCTTCCTGGCTGTTGAAGAAATGCAAAAGAGAATGCTAATGGCCCAGTGAGTAAATTTTAGAGTTGTCGGCATAAGGCAACCAGAGAGTATTCAGATAAGTAAGGAAATAATATAAGGAAATAATAAATTTTGCCAAATAACTTTCTAACAATACCATAAAACAGACTTTGCTCTTTTTTTTTTTAGTTTTTAGAAAGTACAGTTTTTGCTGAGGTGGTGGTTATAAGTTAGGTGAAAAATACAAACAGTCCTTTATTAATGAAGACAAATACTTTGCACAGTTACAAATGGAGCACCACTGGGCTTTCAAATATTACACAGCAGAGTTTGAAAAGTAAATAGAATGAATGGATGGATGGATATATTTTAAGAAGACACATATTACTTCTTAACTAGCTAACTCAAAGCTCTCTGCATAATCATTTTTCCAAAGTACTTTGATTATCAGTAAAATCTACACTTACCACAGATCCAGGCATCAGGCCTACTTGACTCCCAAGTCCAGACTTTTCATCTAACCCAGCCATCTGAGCTGAAAACGGCTGTTAAAGCAATATGTTGACATTATTTCCACAGTAAAAGATATATATCAACATACTTTTTAAACTGAGAAGTGTATATTCTCTGGGATTCTTAAAGAATGACTCTTTTGAGGATCATTGTAAACTTTTGACTTTAAAGCAAGGAGAAAGATTCAAGCTGTTTTCATTGTATGTGTTTTTGAGTGAACAATCTTCCTCATTATGCTGCTTCAAAATAATTACTGCAGTGGGCCAAATGCCTGATACCTGATAAAAACATGGATCACTCTGATAAGCATTTAGCCAGTCTAATCGATTTCAGGTTTAAGTCTCTTTATTTGCTTTCTTCCCATTGTTAGAGCATGCCAAACATCTGAACAAAACATAAAAGTGCCTTTAGAACATTTGTCCTAAAGATTTTTCCATTATACCAGACTGCTTTACTTAGATGGTATTCTTCTTTCTTTGTTAGTGGTCAATAAATTTTAACTGTATTTATATAAGTTGATTAAAATTTTATGATCTTTTTAATGAATCTTGGAATATTCCAAAATTGGTAACAGTTTTACCTTCTCTCCTTCACATCTAAAAATCTCTGGTAACCCAATTGACTAAACCTGTCCATTTTCATTCCAGGAGTTCTATCAATTTAAAGATTCTAATGGGAAAAGAAGGTGCGTATTTTTAAAAAATAAATTGGCAATTCCTTCGAGTTGAAAAGCAAATGTAAAAATTGTTGTAAAACAAAAATCACATCTCAAGGTTCCATTCATTCCCTTGCTGTACTATGCAATTTGCTCATAAATCTACTCAAAAGTCTGCCACTAAGAATTCAAAGAGGCAGGCGTAGAAAGACATTTCATTTTATTTTATTTGTGGTAGGAACTTAACATTCAGAGACGTAACCAGAATGAATTTTTAGCGTCTACGCAGTGGCCCTTTGGCAAGCATCATCCCAGGTGTGTTATCTTTCCTCGGTGGGAGGACATGACACAGATTTTTTTCAGCGTTCTGAGCCAAGGGAACAAAAAAGGAGAAAGACGTATTTCTCTTTCCAATTCACGGTGGGAATAATATTAGTGGTCCTTTAGAATCAACAGAAAGAACAAAATCCCAGTGCCCAGAACTGACATTAGGAGATATAAGCCATTTGAAGCAGCATCTTTGAAAAGTGATACTTTGAGCTTTCCAACAATTCACTGTGGAGTTCCTAGTTTTTACTCACAGCAGCATTATGTTCATTTAGCTGCTCTTACAGCTAAGGACCAATATGTGAACTAACACAATTTGAGATCCTAATAATATAGCCAAAACTTAATATATTATCTAAAGAAGATATTAAGCAATGCACACCACTCACCCTGCTCATGCCATCAGGTCCTGGGTGAGATGGATGCCCCGGAGGTCCTGGGGCACCCGGCTGACCAGGAACACCTGGTTCTCCATCAATTCCCTGAGGACCACGAGGCCCCTGGAAAAATAAGCCAGAAGACACTAGAATCCATTGCCAAATATGTACTAAGGAGAAAACAAAAACCAAAAACTTCTTGATGGAGACGAAGTGTTCATTACTTTTTAAAAAAGAGCAATCTAGCCACCCCCAGTAATTTCATCAGCTACACCAAAACTGCAGATTTCAGCACTGGTCACAGCCTCTGCCGTCAGGAGAGGACACATTCTGGGTAAGAATTTTACTCTTGATATGTTAGATTCCCAGTAATCAGCTCTTTTGGAATAATTATAAGAGTGTACTCAGTTTTTCAATATTCTAGAATAAGTTTCCTTACTTGAGTTTTGCTGTTCAAGGGTATTTAGTCAACAATTTCTAAACTCACTTGTCTTAAATTAACTGTGTATGTTCCTGCTTAACTTTTCCCCACTTAAAAAAAGAACTTTATGGATCTTTGAACAGTGTTTGTGGTTTTCCTCAGCTAGTTTTTTCATGTTTTACACAGTTCCTGGCTCAGAGTAGAGACTCAGTATATGATTACTACATTTTCACATTTCAGTTTCTTTACTCTAGTACTTGAAGTCTGATATACTTTATTTTCCCTACCACTCTCAAAAGTAGACCAGCCCCATGAGAAGAACAGGGAAAGGCACAGGGACTCAGCCAAGTCTAGTTCTCAGGGAAGTGAGCAATGAGTTATAGCTGCCAAATTCCACCCTCCTCCTAACCCACATTCTGAAGGCAGCTTGGGGAACAGCCACGTCCCCAGTTCTGGAACTGCTCCATCTCCTAACCTCACCAGTCCCACAAGTCTTGTTAAGTATTTTCTAGCTTTTTAACCCTGGAAATTCATAATAGGACCAAAGAAAGGAAAGAAAGAATCAAAGAACTCAAAACTCAGTATGATTTTACTAATTAGAAGCAGGGATCTATATATAGATATAGATATAGATATAGATATAGATATAGATATATATGATGAGTTAAACAGTAAAGGAGGTTTACCATGCCTACACCTGAGACTATCTATCAGCACACAATAAGCAAACATGAGCTGATACAGTGGAGGGAGGAAGCATAGGACACGCAGAGTGGGGAGGAGAGGTGGCTTGCAGATGATGGTTTGGGGGAGGGTGGCATAAGAGCTATTCAGAAATATATTAAATATATTAAAACACTCCTGTTTGACATGTTTACTTCTTGGAGTAGTGGAATAATTAAACAAATTTATCTATTCAAACAGAAGTAGATAACAGCCTGAAAAAAACTCACATTTTGAAAACTGGTTTCTCAGAAACTGACTACTCACTCTACTTTTTTTCATTGTATTACATAATGGAGGCTAATTTTTCATTGCTGCCTAAGACTTCCAGATCATACAAATGTGACACCATGATCTGGAAATGTATGCTGTCAATGGTGGCATATAAAACATAGTAGTCTGACCTACTCAGACCACTGTGTGTGGAAAACTTAATGTTCTTTTAAAATGTGAAATTGCTAATTAAAAATCAGGTATCATTAATACAAAAAAATGAGGTAAAACATTCTCTCTGCTCCCAAAGAGATTTCCAAAGCAAAACCAAAAACTACATTTAGTGTCACTGGGAGTAGAGAGAGGTTTGGGTAATATTAATCCTCAAAAATTGGGTCCTTCCCCCAGCTCTCTGTGATTAAAAATCCTGTTTCAAAGTCTGCTCTGAAGAGAGCCCACTTTTTCACTGACTTCATGATGCATTCTATGCCTCCATGGTATCTCCTGTAAATAGCCTACGTGATTTACTTTTATACAAGTTGTGGTTAAAATTAATAAAAACCTGTAAAAATCATCCAAAACTAAGTGAACATAATAAGCAAGACTATAAGTGAAAATAAGAAAAAAAGCATATAATATGTGATATTTTACTGATAAATATTTAAAACAAAAACTATAACTTCAGAACACATTAAAATATATATTTTCATATTTCCAGGTGTGATGAATCACAAAAGTTTTGTATCAAGGTAAGCATTCTCTCTATAATCATTCTTTCCCTTCCCCCAGGATACTTCACTATCCCAGGAGGCAACCCACAGTAAAAAGTACTTGTAGATTGTCACTAGGTGGCAACGTTTAAACATTCACAAAGAGGAATAATAATGCCCCCAAATCAAAAAGAACTTTATTCACTGATAGTAATATCACCCACATTATGAAGTGTGAGAATTAGTAATAACTGGTATATTCTCCATTTTACAGATGAGGAAAGAGACCTATAGAGGTTAAGTGACAGGAGCGATTAGAACTCAGCACACCATTGATTGTCGTCCATCTCCTGACAGGTTGCTAGTTTGTCTCTATGAAGTTCCCAGGAAAGTACACTTCAAACGAAGGATATGTGTGAGCGAGGACCCGGGTGATCACTGGCTAGTAAGGAGGGCTTTGTGAGAGGATCTCTATATCAGAAGTTCCCAATCTTGAGCACTTTGCTCCCCTCCCCACTGCCAGGGAACATTTGGCAGCATCAAGAGATGTTTGTATTCGTTACAGCGGTATGGGGGGGAAGCAGGTGTTCCTACTGGCATCTGGGCCGACACCAAGAACGCTGCCAAATTATCCTACAAAACACAGGGAATTTCTGTCCCCAAACACCAATGGTGTTAAGAGTGAGAAACCGCTCTATTTGATGAGCTTTCTGTAACATTCAACGGTAACAAACGGGAGAACAGTGGCATACGTGACTGCACCAGCAGCCTATTTCGCGGCATCCACAGCATCTGTCCAGGTAAGGCTCTTAGGACCAGCCAGTCTTAGGACCTGAGGGAAAACATTCTACCTGCAGGTATTTGCGACATCATGCCAGTATCTTGGAGAAAGTTGTGGTGGGAGTACTTATACCAGAGAAATCAGCAAAAGCTATAGGCATATATTTTTAAATAAATCAGTTATTAAACACGTGGCCATCACACCGCTGCTTGCTAGGATTAAGAGAGGAGCAGATTTTCCACTTGGGTATCTACCAGCACTGTCTTGCTCAATTCCAAATAAATAATTACTTCTCACTCTTTTTAACACACACATACACACACACACACACACACACACACACACACACATACACACAGTTCCCATTGATTGCCTCAGACTAAACCAAGATAGGAAATGGAGCTTATCACATACTAAGTCGAGAAGAGAAGAGAAAGGAAAGAGAGACTAAGAGGAGTGAGGAGTAGATTCATTGAATCCTAACAAGAAATTCTGTAATTCCAACCATGAGTTTCACAGCAGCTTCCACCTACACTTAGGACTCAGTTTTATCAATTATTCTGGGCACAAGTGCATTGAGGCACAATGTTTTCTGTATGACCACCCACCCTCCACCCAACTGAAGTCATGTTCCACCTGTCTCTGTCATCCCAGGCTTCTGGACAGACATCCGAATGTCTACCAACGGGGTTTCAGCTACCAATGCCAGGGAGGCAGCATGGCAGAACACCAATGATGAATGGGCCATGAGGTCATCGGAAACCAGCTTTACCGCCCACCTACATGGCTATGACCTTCTTCCTTGGGACCACTGTCGTTTACCTGCATGCCTGCAAATACTTTCCATAACTTCAGTTGCAGTTTGGAAACAGTACTGGCATCATTCCCTTCTTGGTGAAATGAGTAGAAGCAAAAAAACAGTATCAAAGATGAAACCAGTGGCTAGGGTTCCTAATAACATGATCTAGAATATGTTTTTTTCCTTACTTATATATTTTAGGTGGTTTGTTGCTTCCTTGCTCATCCATTTTTCCCATTTAGATATGGATAAGTACATATTTGGAAGGTTAAAAACCCATAGAAAGTTACATCTTCGTAGATATCATTAGACAGAAAATTAAACAGTTTGAATTTTTCAGATTGAAACTTACGATAATGATAGATTCATCTGAATCTATTTTTGACACACAAATTCATCTAAGTATTTGGTATTAATATATAAAAGACAAATTTTGAGGGTGAGATATAAAAAAGAAAAATGATTGCTATAATAGGACTTCTTAACAAGTGAAAACATTTAGCATGTATTATATAGTAATCTCATGGCTTATCTCAAGAACATAGAGTTGATTATTTAAATTTAAAGGTATTCCCTATGGTAATGAATTTATTGATATTTAAAATTACTCCTTTGATAGCTCTGCAGCAGCTGCCCAATGAAAAAGGCAGCATTACTCAGGAAATCAATTCATTACAGAACCACTTGAAAGAAAATTTTGTCCTGTAATAATTTCTTTTTCCTTTATCCAATTTGGTTATTCCTAGAGCAACCGCAGATCACATAACTTGGGCGTTTTCTCTCAAGGATGCATTGTTGGCATTGTTTACTCATAAGTTACAACTTCTGAAAACAATATGAGGTATGCATTATGTTTCCTTAGATTCTACTTTAATTTGACCTCATAAAGGACACATGGATATCATCTGTGTTATCTGAGAAGATCATAGGTAACTATTAGCATGTGTTTTCCTCTGAATCAGGATCAATGCACGATCACTTCATGACCTGAATTTTATGCCGTGTTCAATAGACGTGAGAAAGGAGAACTGCCACTGGCTCTTTGCTGCACCCGCAGAACTCGCCAAAGATGGGCTTGCTCATTAAAGTTCACACAAAGGCGGCTCCACCGTCAACTTACAGGTTTTCCTTTTGGGCCCCTCTCTCCTCTCGGTCCTTGTGACCCTGGCGGTCCCTGAAACAGAAAATGATGGTTATGTCTGTAAAACACGTACACTTCAGATAATTTTGCTCTAAAGGTTACTGATATAAGAAAATTGAAAGAAATACCATCTATTTTAAAATATCAGCTGAAGACAACAGAAAATAAAGCCATGTATGTATAAAAGTTCTGTGTATACAGGAAGGCTGTTTATTTTCACACTGAAATTTAAAGACTTGTGAAGAAGTAAGTATAACAATGTGGTACCCAGTGAGTTGTATAAATTCGTTTGAACCATAATTGTAAATTTGCAAGGATAATTTTTTTTTGCTCTCTTGTCTTAGACACAAAAACTTACAATTCAAATTTTGAGAACTACATTATTGTCCAAACTCCAAATTTTCAATTTTTCCGAGGAAAGGTATGAATTCATGTTGGTACACAATATCCCAAACTATTCATCACTATTCAAGTTGCTGACAAAAGCAACGGCAAAACAAGCTTATTCTGCTACTACCTTGTATACCTTCAAGCATCCAATATCATTTTTTAACTTTGCCTCACCTCCATTCTAAATTTAAAACCCACCAAGAATTTTCCAAATGGTAACTTCAATTGCAGTTATTTTTCCATTAAAATAACAAATGATTATCATATTTCAAAACTGGCATTTTGTGCTTATATCTTAAATTAACTTGTTTCCCCAGAAAATGGCAGTTGCCAGGAGAATTTTATTTTCTTCAAAAGAGTTTCAACTGAGTTATAAAAATTTGATTGTACATTTACTCAATCCAAAACATAATGTTCTTTAAAAACAAATGCTTCAGAACAACTATAGCAGGTCTATTGAAGTGTATCAGTATTTCACTTACATTGATCTAATGTGCTTTAAAATTTACATGAGTGTGTGCGTGTGTGTGTGTGTGTGTGTGTTATGCATCTGGCTACCTGTGAATGCTACCACTAATCCAAACCTGAAATCAGTAGTCTTTCATGCTAAACCAGAAATATGCCATTCTGATGTAGATCTTCTCAAATTCTACTGTAATATTTACTCTTATATCAATATAACACATATTAATATACTGTTATATAATGTAATAGTAAATATTACAATAGAATGTATCAGAAATATATCAATAATATCAAATTCTATCAATTTAATTTTAATAACAGATGGAATTAACAGTTTATTTCATGAAACAGATAAAAGTAGTCTACCTTTAATCATTGTCAGCAAGACTAATTTGCCCTAATTTCAATGAGTACAGTTAACCGAAATAGGGTTCATCAATTTCATTCACTGCTGCAAAGAAATGTTTAAACTTTAAATTGTTTCAAAACAAAATGTTTCAAGAAACCAAGCACATCATTGTTTTATAATCTATTGTCTTGTCATGTACATAATATCCATAAAGATTCAGTATCTCAAAGAACTTAAGCAATACCACGAATACTAAGAAACTACTTACTGCAGGTCCTGGACGTCCACGTATGCCTGTCACCTAAACAATGAACGAGACAATGTGCAGAGATAAAGTCTCAAAAGAGTTTTAGAAAACTCAGTAGTCAAATAAGAAGAACAACAAAAGGTCCAGTTGTTATTTTAGAACAAATGGATGTTAACAGTTGGTGCCCATTTCCTCCCCGACTTTCTTATAAGGCTAAGACATTAATTTAAATTCTAATACAAGGAGGCAGTACTGGTATAGTTATTAAGAGCCAATGCTGGATCCAGGAAACCTGAGTTCAAATCCTAACTCCAACCCTTACCAATTGTATGACCTTGAACTAATTAATTATCCTCTCTCTATTTAAGATTCCTCTTCTGTAAAATGGTGATAATGATTATGAAATTAACTCCCTCTCAGAGTTGTTGTGAAGACAAACAAATAAATATTTAGGAAGTGCTTAATACAGTACATTAGGCATTGTGCTTTTAAATGAACACAAACAATATGAATGGTTTCACTTTTTAGGTAATTGTTAAAAACAAGTCAATTAAAAAGCAAAGCAAAAATGCAAATATTGTCAAATAAATCAACATGCTCTACTTTTGTCTTAACAAAATGATAACTCCTTCAAAACCAAGGAGAATAGTGAGGAACTTTCATCCTATATAATGATATACTTTACAATCATCTCCAAGTCTAAATAACTCTTAAGAACTCTATACACTATGGACTTTACATCATGATAATGACATAACATCAGAGAAGGCAATGACACCCCACTCCAGTACTCTTGCCTGAAAAATCCCATGGACGGAGGAGCCTGGTAGGCTGCAGTCCATGGGGTCGCGAAGAGTCGGACATGATTGAGCGACTTCACTTTCACTTTTTACTTTTATGCATTGGAGGAGGAAATGGCAACCCACTCCAGTGTTGTTGCCTGGAGAATCCCAGGGATGGGGTCGCACAGAGTCGGACATGACTGAAGTGACTTAGCAGTAGCAGTAGCAGTAACATAACATATTTCCAGAAGTGGGGCACATTAAATCATACCTCTCCATTTGGATGATATAGCCAAATATATGATAAAAATATACATCTTAATTATCACTTTATATTCACATACAATATATTTAATTTTGTAAAATTTTGATTTACACCTTTAGTCATGGGACAATAAATAAATAAAAGGAAAAATAAACATGAAATATCATATTAAATTAAGAATTCATCTTTTTTATTTTGCTTGTTTTATACTAAAAGTTTGGTTATAAAATAATTAAGTTCCCTATTTTTGAATGTATATAAGCAATAATATACAATGATGCTATAACTAAGTTTATCAAAGGTACATGAAAACGTATATATATGTATACTTACAACAGGTACTAATCCTGGTTCTCCCTTTTGTCCCTACGAAGAAGAAAAAAAATTCAATTAGAAAAACATAGTGGCTTGTTGAGCATTAACATGTTATATCAAAATATTCCAGGTAAACAATGGAAATTTGTATGTAAGAAAGGTAAAAAATAAAATGAGAAAAAGGTTAACAATTTTAGAATATTTAGTCAGACCTTATTCATGAAAAAAACACTACTTCTCTCAAAAACATGAAAATAGAATTAATCCACTGTGTGAAATGTGTAAAGTTTCCATTCCGTTTTTACGGCAATCAGACCCAAAGAGATGATTAGAGATGTCTGTGATGAAACTTCCCTGGTGGTACAGTGGACCGGAGTCCACCTATCAATGCAGTGGACACAGGTTTGATCCCTGGTCCAGAAGTAACCACATGCCACGGAGCAACCAAGCTCGTGCACACAACTACTGAGCCCGTGCTCTAGAGCCCGCCAGCGGCGACTACTGAGCCCAGGTGCTGGCAGCTACTGAGAATGAGCACCCAGAGCCCATGCTCTGCAGCGAGAGATGCCACTGCAATGAGAGGACCGCGCAGCGCAACTAGGGAGCAGCCCATTCGCTGCAGCTAGAGAAAGCTGGTGCACAGCGATGAAGGCCCAGAACAACCAAAAACAACAAGTGTGCTTTAAGGAATAAGAAATATAATTAAACACAAAGACATGCTTGTGATAAAAAAAAAAAAATGTAAAGTCAAAGCACCATAGGAAAAACTACCCAAAGACTGAAAACACAAAGGGAAATCCAAAACATTTGAACTCTCACACTCATATTACATGCCATTTAGTTTTTAATAACTTATCAGATGCCAATCCTAAAACACCTGCCATCTTTTTTTTTTTTAAACTCATGGAAGACTATGAGAAATAACAAGAGATATCTGATCACCTTTTAAAGAAAAAAAGAAAAGAAAAGAAAAGATATAATGATATTAGGTAATTCTCAATATCTGAGGAAAACCTAGAAAAATTATTATTTGAACAGGAAAACAAAAAATAACACAAGAAACTATCATAACTCAAAGTAAATAAAGCATAATTTGCTCTTTTTATCTTAACACTATCTTTGTATCTATATCTTAACACCACAGATATAGATGGAATTTCTTTTGATTCTTAAAACTTTAGATTATCAAAAACTATATTCTTATAGTATGATGTCAAGTATGTTGTTTAAATAACATTGGTGGAATTATATCTTTATATACCTCTACTGTGAACTCCCCCAGTGGCTCAGATGGTAAAGAATCTGCCTGCAGTGTGGGAGACCCAGGTTCAATCCCTGGATTGGGAAGATCTCCTGGAGTAGGAAATGGCATCCCACTCCAGTATTCTTGTCTGGAGAATCCCATGGACAGAGGAGCCTGGCAGGCCAGTCCATAGGGTCACAAAGAGTTGGACATGACTGAGCGACTAAGCACACACATACATGAGAATAATTCCTTTTTGGAACAAGTCTAAAAATACAAGTAAAAAGGGAGGAGAAATTACTTCAGCCAAAATTAGAAAAATGAGCCTTCCACTGTTCCACAATACTTGATATGGGATTAAATATTCTATAATCAAGTTTTGATAACAAATTTATCTAATGATTCTATGTATATCTTATTTTGGAAATAAGTCGAAAACAGAAATATTTGTCACTTTTGTTAATGTGAGCTTTGAATAAAGCAATTGTGGAATGATAATTTTACTAAATTTGACTCTCATACCCCTGGGAAGCATAAAATTCAAGTATTCGTGTTCAGATGAGAATTCCAGTTTAATTTAACTTCTCATCTGTTACTCATCACTTAATGCTATGTGGATATGCCTCATCACTTTTATAGAAGACTTTACCATGGAGGCAGTCACAGTTATTTTTCCCACCATCACGGCATCTGCATTATTTGCCTCCTACAGGATTTTAACAAAGGTTCAATAATCATTTGGTGGTTAACATGAGTAAATGAATACATTATAAATAAAAATCAATATTATATAAACCTAGCACAAAGTGTGTTTATACAATATTGCTCTGCTCTCATATTTCTGATAACTTGATAATAAATGGCAGAGACATGAATATAAGCACATAACTAGAATGTGCTAAATTAACAGCTGCTTTGAGGACGTCCTTCTCCAAGCTGTCCCACACCACCTTTGGAAAGAGGCAGTAAATTAGACGACACAACCCAACAGTTGTCCCTCAGTAAACTGGATGATTACTAACCAAATTAAATTGATTACATCAAGGCAGTTCTCACAGTCAATTCCATTTTTATTTCACAGATTGTTTATCTGTTTACCTACTAATTCATTTATCTATCTGTTTGTATACTATATTCATACATTTAAGTTTCATAATTTTTTAGCTTTCAAATGTAAATTAAATGTGAGCTGGCATTTGCAGTCCTTCTCCTCTGACATATATTGACATATAAATAGCTTCACTGATATTTATGACAAATAAGATGAATTTACAGTATTGCCCTCTGAGCCAAAAATGTAAGAAGTGACCAGGACCTCCCCTTGATGACAGCACTTTTACCTACCATAAAGGTGTTGCATTGCATTGTATGATCATTAATTTTATGATGTTCCGTTGCATGCAAAGGCAAAGAATTTAAATTTGCTGTCTAATAACTGCCAAGAAAATTGAGATGATTCCTCATTTTCATTCTTAATTCCTGTGTCCATCCCATCTGGATAAGACCGAGCAAATGTCATAGTTTTCAACTTAACCAGAAAACAAAGAACACTTCCAAGGGGATGGAGCTCTCTCACGGAATGCGATCACCCATGTCCAATCACTGGTGACTCAGACGATAGTCTGCCTGCAATGCAGGAGACCTGAATTCTATTCCTGGGTCGAGAAGATGCCCTGGAGAAGGGAATGACATCCACTCCAGTATTCTTGCCTGGAGAATTCCATGGACAGAGGAGCCTGGCCTGCTACGGTCCATGGGGTCGCAAAGAGTTGGACAAGACTGAGCCACTAACACACACATGTCCAAATAACAAGTGATGAAACTGAGTAGGCATACCAGGGTCTTGGCTACACCCCATCATTGTCCTATTGAGTGTAATGCTTGTCTCTGGGATTAGATTCCAGGGTCCTTCAATAAGAAGAGGAGAGAAAGGGAGGTGATGTGTGTCAAATCATTCAACTAATTCTTTTAATTGAATCTTTGTGTGTGAAAGTTGATCAGTCATGTATGACTCTTTGCGACCCCATGGACTATACAGTTAAATGAATACTCTAAGCCAGAATACTGGAGTGGGTAGCCTTTTCCTTCTCCAGGCGATCTTCCCAACCCAGGGATCAAGCCCAGGTCACCCACATTGCAGGTGGATTCTTTACCAAATGAGCCACAAAGGAAGCCCAAGAAAACTGGAGCGGGTAGCCTATCCCTTCTCCAGCAGATCTTCCTGACCCAGGAATCAAATCCAGGGGTCTCCTGCACTGCAGGCTATTTCTTTACCAACTGAGCTATGAGGGAAGCCCCAATCAAATCTTTACTGCCCAACTGATGGGAGAGGGACCACAACTCCACTGAAGTAGAACAAATATCCTCTCACTCTTTCTTCCTTCTTATCTTCATTCCTTACTTCATTCAATTAAACTCTTATTGCAGTGTCTACTGCATTGCAATTAGACACTTATTCTAATATATATGATTAAGGTATATGATTAACATGACATAGTCTCAATCCCTTAGGGATTCACAACCTTCTGAAAGAACCATCTAAAAATAAAAATTTTAAAAGTGAAGAAAATAGAGGAATCTATAATCTATAATCAAAGTAGTTAAACTATGCTTATATAGTTATATTCGTATGGTACTTTACAAAGGGCATTCAAGCTCTTCAAAGCACAGAATTATGTAGATATCATAAAAATTTTTTAAATTTACAAAAATGAAACTATGCAAAGTAAAACTTACCTTTCTTCCTCTTCCTATAAAAAAGAAAAGAATATATTATTTTACGCATATATATTATTAAGAATCTCGATACTTATTTCAATAATTTTATAGAGTCAGAATTTAATTTAAAAAGCTTCCCCTGTCACAAGCAGATAGAAATTCAAATTATTTTGCACCAATATTTTCATAAGAGGCAAAATAACATGCCCCTTTGGAAAATTCTGACATTTGAATATTCTTCACAATTTTTATATAGAAAAAATTCAGTAAATTATAAAATTAGCTATTAAAATTATAACTAATTATCTTCAATCAATATTCTCTATTTTTGGTTCTTATACTTTTTTGAGTAGGTTATTCATTCACATGATTAAAAAAACAAACCTAAAATATGTTAATAAAGGTATAGATTGTACAGTGAAAAATTGCCTTGTCCCCTTTTCTCTATTTTCCTCATTTCACGTCTCACCAGAGGTCTCTATTATTGATTTTCTTTTAGTTTTCCTAACCAAGAACGTAATGGAACATTACATGTATTAAAGTCATATTTGAGTTAGTAGTGTTCTAAAGTTTTCTTAATGTATATCTTAAATATTTTGTTTTGTTTATCCTTAACCACTTTATCCTATATATTCCTATTATAAATGAGATATTTTTATTCTTATTACTCATTCTATGAAGTAATATGCAAATATATATTACAATATACTTGTATATTACTTCATAGAATGAATAATAGGAATAAAAATATTTATAATAGCAATATGTAGGTGACTTAGATGGTAAAGAATCTGCCTGCAATGCTGGGTACCAGGGTTCAAATCCCTGGGTTGGGAAGACCCCCTGGAGAAGGGAATGCCAACACATTCAAGTATTCTTGCCTAGAGAATTCCATGGACAGATGAACCTGGAGAGTTACAGTCCAGGGCCTCACAAACACTTGGACATGACTTAGCGACTAACACACATACATTCTATGAAGTAATTGTATATAGTATATCTATTAATTTGTTAATTTTATATTGCACTATCTTACTAAATTGTTTTGTAGCATTTTTTTACTCCATTCCCTAAGGTTTTGTAAGTACACAGTTATATTTTCTATAAATTGATCATTTAACCTCCTCTTTTCTAATATCTAGAGTTCTAATTTCTTGTTCTTGTCTAATTGTTTGGTCAGGTGCATTTAATAATGTTAAAATTTTCTGTGATAAAATGAAATAAGGATTGGTCAGAATTTTTATCTGTTCTGTGATGATATACTTATTGGTGTGTTCTTTAGCTCATATATTTAGTTAAACAGTCTCATCTTTGCCTTATAGTATCTTTGTATCAACACTGTTGTCAGTACTTTTAAAAATTATTCATCATGGAATAAATTGGGGCTTTCCTAAATCACCTATTTTCAGGAAGCTGTGTATTTTGCTCATTTTTTTTTTTAATATTTAGAGGAGGTTGTGTATTTTGCTCTTTTTTTTTTTTTTTTGCTACTATTGTCTCAACATGCATTTGTCCCCACAGGTTTAATTTTGCTTTCCTCCCAGGGATTCTGTGCAGATCATATCCACTTCAGGTAGTCCTTTAGTGCCTTGATTTTAGTTCTTTCCATTATGTCTTCCTTTCTGTGTGTATGCTAAGTTGCTTCAGTTGTGTCCGACTCTTTGCAACCCTATGTAGTGTGTAGCCCACCTGCTGTGGCCCACCAGGCGCCTCTGTCCGTGTGATTTTCCAGGCAAGAATACTGAAGTGGGAATTTTCTTATTACATGGCTAAAAGTTAAGTTTGGGTATGTATTCTGGGCCAACTGTTACTGTTGAATGATATCCAAGAGGTTAATTGGTAAATTACCATGCGATGTTTCCATGAAAATACTTTTGAGCACTTCATTATATTTGTTGTTATTTGCAGTGAAATTTAGGGAAAAAAAATAAAGCCTTGAAACTGTCTTGACAAGGGTACATGCAAGCCTCCATTCATGACTGCTAAAACAAATAACCTAAAAGTTTAATATTAATCTTATCTGGTTCACTGAAACATATAAACATGAACTTGTTTCTCTTATATGTAAGTTTTTCTAACATGTACACTCAAATACACAGTCTTTGTTAAACACAGACACTATTCTCCAAAAAAGAAGCTTTAAGAACCAATAATTTATATTATTGTTTTCTCCAGGAAACCCATTTTATTCTCTTGTTTTTCTCAGCCAATATTAAAAGCATTCTGCATTTATGAGCCTATGTAATAGAGGGTGCTGTGGCACTAAATTACATTAGAAATTATTACTCCATTACCAAGGGCAAAGTCGGCACAGGGAAGAGAACTGTGTTTTTAGATCTCCTCTTAGACATTAATGGACTTCATAGAAAACCAACAAATATCTTGGAGGCACCCAGCATGGATAGGGTAACAAAAGAACATCTTAAGTGGTACAAGGAATTCTCAAATTAGACATAGTCACTTAAATGAAGCCCAAAAAATTCCTTGTTTTTTAAGAATAAATAACTTTATTTTTATTACTGTTAGATTAAAGTGGGTGAGTGAAATTATTACGCCAAAGACTACTGAATAGCAGCTTAATTATCCTCTTGGGTTGCTGAATTTCGAGAGCAAAAAACACTGTAACTATAAAGATAAATCACTGGACAAATTCTAAGTTGGCCTTATGCATTCTTACCAAAATTGGTATTGCCACCTCCAGTTGTATGTGGACAGACAGGACAGCATTCCCCGGGGGGAGTTACGGGGTCAGCACATTCGAGCACATCCTGGCACTGTATCTTGTCACAAAGAATGGCACCATTGTCACAGACACAGATCTGACAAGGGGCAGGTTTCCAAATGTCCCTGTTTAAGTACATCTGACCATTCTGGGTGCAGGCTATTTCTTCACCATATCCTTCTAGAATAAGAAGAAAAACAAAGAGGTTAGTATCTGAAATTTCAGAATCTGGGAAATATTTAGGAAGGTAAATCATCTTGTGGGTTCTAAAATCTCTAGGCTAAGTGGTAACCTCCTAAGGAGTCAAACACAAATGAGTTTACTCCATTAGTATTTAAAGACAAACATGTAATTCACAATTAAATTATTATGAAACTTATATTGTAGCATGATGGGGGCAGGGAAAGTGATCCAAAGTATACTAAATCAGAGTGCTTCCCAAAATCATTTTTGAAGATACAAATAATCAAACAACATAAGATCATGTTTGAGGGATAAAAGTAAACCATTTGAAGAGAGGGCAAAAAGAATAGTTCTAAAGAGAATACATAATTTCAGCGTTTGGTGAACCCTATGTGACTTTAAACTGACTTGAAACGTTCCATTAGTAAATCCCACAACAGAAGACAATGAGTATTCATGTATCATGAAGAAAAACTTAAATTCATTTTAAACATTAAGATAAAAAAAGCTAATGGTTGACCCATTCATGGAGTGGATTTCCGCTAAACATCTGAAAATAGTCTCCTAAACTGTAGTGGAAATGCAAAGTTTATACAGCCAATGTGTTAATTGTCTTTGTATAAAAATTAACTAAGTCAGGACCAAGACAACATGATAAGCTATTACATAATATATGCCAAATACTTTTCTATATTTAGATAAAAATTTAATGCAGATTTGGAAAAATATATGCACTTCTATACACATAGCAATTCTATTATGCATTTACTATAAAATAAACATATACATCTTTAACATAGTGATTCTCGAGAAACAAAATTACAGCATTTTAAAACACAATGTGGATCATAAATCTTTGCTTAATTCCTTTCATTTCCAACTACTTAAATTCAAAGCTCCTTTTTAAAGCCCAAAAGTCCTCCCAAAGGAATCAGTACAACTGGATCCCTTTGCCTGGCAAGCCTTTCCTTTCCTCAACTCCAACTCCAGTAGCTCACTATCACAGTTTGCTTAATTGCCACCAGTCCCCCACAATTCTTCTCTGACTAATCTCTAAAAGTAGACTTTCTTTATCCGATTGACATGCTTTGTAGAACACTTTAAAGAACTCATTCATCCATCCTTCCACTGATTCACTCATTTTGTATTATAAGCAAGGTAATTAAATATTTACTAAAATGGAACCATTAGTCAAAAATCACTGCTTTCATAAGGTTTATCACAATTAGTATTTATTTATTTATTTTTACTTGTCTATTTTCTTATTTCCACCACCAGGCAGTATGAAAGTGAGAACTAGTGTATCTTGTTCATTATGGTATTTCTAAAGTTTGACACCATACCTTGCATAGAATCAACATTCAACAAGTACTTGTTCAATGGATGGACATGAATGAATGAGTGAATCTAAATTATGGTTAGCTAACAATTGTACCGCTACTTTACAAAAATAAAACTAAAATTTTTAAAATGCATTTACAATAAGTTTATGAAATATAGTTACATTTAGTAACATTTATATATATCTTTCACAATAAATACAGTCAAATACTAATATAGAACTACAGACGGAAATGATTTCAGTTTAAACAGACATTAGTCTAAATATCCATCTTCATAACTTCAGAAAGTTTTTCTTGGGTAACATTCTTCTCATTGCTCTATGGAATACTTTGCCTCACATATTTAGTCTCTCATCACAGATATTTGGTAGATGGAAAATTGTTTTCAAAGCATGGCACCACATCCTGGCTTTTGAGCTATTCAGAAGGAAAGCACAAAATTTCTAATCTGTCTAATCTTCCCCAAATGATGTTTATCACATACTATGTAGCTCATCAATAAAATAATATTGGCTCTGTCTATCCAGTGTTACTATAGGCATGTTCAAGGAAGGAGAAAATAAATATCTAGCTTCAGCATGCTTTTCTGTGGAACTATTTTGAAAACATAAGAAAATAGTACCTCAAAAAAGCAGTACTACTTTTAGATGAAAAGTCGCTTTGAAACAGTGCAGTTCCAAGGTGAATGCTTCCATAAAACACAATTTCCATAGAAATAGATTCACATCCATAGTCCATTGAGCTATTCCATTAAGTACAAAAAAAAAACTTTTTGTTCATTAAGTTTTATGATTAAGACGGAAATATCTAATCACAAAGACTAAGCGCAATTGGCTGAAAATGAGATACACCACAAGTTCAATTCGCTTGCTTCTCCCTTACCACACCCTGGGAGGCAAAAGTGCTCACATGTATTTACAGAAGGTTAAGTGGGCGTGTGCCTAGTACTGCATACGAAAAATATTAAAAGCATTCTGCTCTCAAAAATATATACTATCATTGTGAAGTGGATCTCAATTTCACTGATGAAACAATTATAAATGGAGAAATAGAGAATATGGAAAACAACAAGAGGACATACAATGATGTTGTCAATTAAATATCATTAAAATGTGAGAGACTCTTCAGGGGTGGGTTATCCTGCTCGTTGTGTCTCCTTCAGGGTTGGGATAAAAAGACACACTCTCTCAGACTTGTGTTAACTCATAGGTCAGTTTCTTTCTGAAAGCTTAAAACAGTTTTGACCTCACTCCAACGAACAAAGAAGTGGGCCACTATCTTACTTTAAATGACAATGTTAGAAGTTAGTTTTATACTCTGAGTCATCACTGGTCCGTTTCCCCCTGAGGATTTATAATTAAATTTAGGGTGATGTGGAAAGTTAGTTGGAATGCTTTTAAATGGCAGGGAGATGAAAACCCACATTCGCTGCTAAACCCTGCCTCTCTCCCCCCACACAGAATCCATACACATCACAGACTGCACAGAAACTCAGTGAACTCTCATTGTTCGTGTCTGGATGAAAGACATGGACAAAGAAACACTGGGTGGAAAATACAGGGTGCCTTGCAATTCTCAAGTTTGTACATGGTAGTTGTGTACCTTATGATTAGGTTGTCTTTTCTGTTTTCTGCATAGATGTTTATTTAAATGAAAAGAAAAGTAAAATAGGAAGCAAAATTGCAGCCAATTTGCAGTGAAGTAGTCATGACATAATTATCTTATGAATGACAATATTATTAAAAATAACTAAGAATTTTTATATGACATTCTGAGAGGGTCAATACCATCCTCCTCCCGATTCCTCCATAGAAATCATAAAATTAATGCAAGCTGACATTAGCCTTTATTTAAGGCCCAGAAGTTTAAAAATCATTTCTTATAAAATCTGAAAAAGACCTCCAAAACCAAAGTACTTTGACACTTGTATTTTTTCTCCATTTATATTTCTTTAACTTTTCTATAATTGAGGAGGACTAATAGATACCTGATTGTATTGCCATTATTTTGTAATCTCTCATGGTGTTGTAACTTCCAGAAATTTTATCTTCCAAGCTACATGTTTCTTTCACTCTTACCAAATGTTCCAACAAACTGAACCAATCCATTGCAAAGTCATTATCACAAACATCTTGGCACTGATCTCTTAAGAGAGCAGAGATACATTTTATCTGACCATGTTTTGCTTGAGAGTAACTCAGTTGTTCTGTGTTTCTCAAACATCCTCATAGATTTGTCTTCTCACAAAGTTTAGGTGCTTTGGAATTTGGTTGCAAGAATTCAGTTCTTAATCACTAGATGGCAGACCAAATCCACCATCTTATTATAATAAACAATTAAAAACGCATCCATCAAAATTGCTGTTTGACAACTATGGGCCACACTCTGTGTCTACATTTCTTTATACATACTTGTGCAAAAAAGTGTGAATAGAAATGGCCTTATTGAAACCTTTGGCTGTTCAGGAGAGATGTGATTCTATTTTTAATATTAAATTATTGGGCTTTATCTAAAAATGTTGAAAAATATACATAATAAACCTCCCTAAGCCTATGCTGGACATTCTGTAGACATTAACAAAACTTTCCTGAAGAAATAATATGCTCAGCTATCACAGAAATTTTAAATCTTTTATTCAGAGAAGTGTTTGTTCAGATCATTGTATCTCACTAGACTGTGGGCTCTTTGGGAGCCAGACATGTATTCATCTCGGTAATCTTCATACCCAATGTTACATAATCAGGATGTGTACTATGGACCTCTATTTTGAATGAAAGGGAAATGGGTCACTTGGTGGTTCTTGCTAAGTGTACCCCTGACATCTAGACTTCTGTGCAAACAGAAAGGAAGAAGTCTATGTCAGTCATAGCAGCTCATATTTTGGAAGAAAAAATAAAATAAGTTAATAGCAGTCCTTGAGCTTTCCTGGGCTTCGCTGGTGGCTGAGACAGTAAAGAATCCGCCTGAAAAGCAGGTGACCCGGGTTCAGTCCCTGGGTGGGGAGGATGCCCTGCAGAAGGGAATGGCAACCCACTCTAGTATTCTTGCCTGGAGAATTCCATGGACAGAGGAGCCTAATGTGCTACAGTCCATGGGATGGCAAAGAGTCAGACATGACTGAGTGACTAACACACAGCCTTCCTGGCCCACTTGGTCTAGGTCCCATTGGAGGTTATGAAAGTCTGGGCTAACATTATTTAAAGTTTCTCTAATTGCAAAAGTTTTTGCAGGGTTAGAATCATGGCTAGTCAGCTGGTGCCCTCCTGAAGTGGGCAGAGGATGCTTCACAGGACAAAGAGGATGCCGCAGAGCAGCCGGTCTGGTCCCAATGGACCAAACCACAGACACTGCCTTTACTAATGCACAGCGGAGCCCGGCTGCTGGGTTCAGTTCTGGAGAATCTTCCAAGGAGATCCCTCCCTTCCTTCTGCTCCCAGGCACTGTTTATCATCACAAGGGAGAGACAGAGAGGTTAGAGTATTGAGTTCTTCCTTTAGACCCTTCTGACTCAACACCAACAGTTCTGCACTGATCATCTCTCTTTCCCTGTCTGATCCCTCATATTTAAAAAATTAGACTCATATGAGGCCACCAGAGATAGCTGAGGGGGACGTGTCACATACTTTAACAATACTTTTCCACCTCAGCCTCAAG